GTCTTACCTTAGGCGTGGATATTTTAAATTACCGTTTTTGGATTTTTAAAAATATTTTTTAAAGGTCTACAGTAGATCTGGATTTTTTTCAAATATTTCCCAGGGGTCACACTAGGTCTGGATTTGTTAAAAATATTTTTTCAAGGGTCTGAGATTTTTTAAAAAAATTTTTTCTGAGACCCTTTCCTCCCACGGTGCCATTGATTTCCACATTGTTTTCTTCAACAAGGAAACAACACCTACATGAGGGCAACACAAGATTCCCACACACAAAAACACACACCACTACTGTGACACACACACATGTCGCCAAACCCAGAACTATCTCAGATATCCTAGAATGAACAGCAAATTTCAAACAAGCAAAGCGAACAAAAATTCAAGAAAAAACGAAAAAACAATGCCCCAGCATGGATGTCAATGAAAAGCGGACAAGAGCAACCAACGAGGATATGAATGAGAAGGGCAAGAACAACAACAACGACGACTACAACAAATTTAACTAGGTTATGCCTTACAAAAAGAGTGTTCCGACATTGAGATATGCTGCCCCGCTGCTGTTGTTGCTGCTGCTGATGATGACAATGACACACTCCAAGTCAGCCATACAAATGCAATCGAAAAAAAAGCCATCCATACACCCACACACGAACACCACCAATACACCGCCCTTATAAGGGGGGCTTTGATGATTGACTGACTGCTCAGTTGTTGCTGCTGTTGTTGCTGAACAACAATTAAAAATGTCTAAAATGTGGATAAAGGATATGTCTTGCCGAACAGCAGCAGCTGCTGGTTTATTGAATAAGATTTCGATTTGAAGGCCAGCCTCGGCCCGGCAGTCAGTCATACAATGATGTTTTGTACCCCCAAACCACCATCCACTGGTCCTTCAGTATCTATCAGAAGAAAAATGATTGTCTTTTTGAAGAGATCTACATGAATTGCTTTTCTGTATCAGCTATAACGCCCACAGCCAAGGAAAGAATTTGGATTTTCAATATGTTTCTTAAAGCACTATATTTTTTGCATAATCTACAAAAATTTACTATGCTATCAGAGTGGACGGAATACAATCATCTAACCAAACACACACTCTCACACTCAAATACAGAGCGAAGGAAAATTATTTGCATAGAAACATAACCTCTTTAAAAGACGAAAACATTCACACCTATATTTCCATTTTTTTTTTTCGTTATTCAAATGTTTACAAATTTGTCATTGAATTCTTTGGAGGATTGGTGTGGTCAGATAAATTATTAAATAGCTTGCTTTGAGGTGGGGCAAAAAGGGGGTGGACACACATTGGTAACACTTGGTAACAAAAATTGTATTAAATTAAAAGAAAATGTAGGACAATTGGATATGAAATTTTGTGCCCTTTCTCTACCTCCCACTGGGGGTTTAACATAAAAAGGAAAACAAATTATGTGACACAGCCTTGTAATTTGAGTTAAGTTCAAACATGCCAAAAAATATGCTCAAGGTCTTGGGTAGAAAAAAAAGGAAATAGCAGAAGTAAATTGGGGAGGAGGAGGAGGTTTTGGAGGGACATACCCCAAAAATGGGGGAGTAGAGAACTTCGACATTTTTAATTGTAAACTTAAAGACCCAACACAAGCACTTTAAACCATAATGAGCCTTCACTGGAAAATTAAAAGGTATTTTTTACATTTTATACAAGTTTGTAACATTTACGACACAGGTGTTTTCATGAGTTTTTTGGTAAATCTAAAGCATCTGCAACCAAGCCAGTCATCTTAAAGCAATCAGAGGCATTTTCCAAGAAATTTATATAGTTTTTGACATTTTATTCAAGATTGTGACATTTGCGACATGTGTAATTTTTACAAAGTTTTTTTAAACTCTGAAAATTTACACCGAAGGTGTTAATCGTTTGCAACCAGAATAGGCCTTCTTTCAGCAAATTTAGATAGTTTACTACGTTTTATACAAGTTTGTGACATATGTAATTTTTAAAAAAAAATCTATGTATCCAAAAAATATTTTCATATTGATCATCTTAAATCAAAATAGAGCATTTTGCTATAGTTTTATTAAGTTTTTGACATTTTATACAAAATTTGTGACATTTGCGACATATATAAATTATCTATAAAAATGCCAAATTGCGATGGAAATCTCAAAATTAGTTATATTGTCCAGTACTTATTCATTGCAAGCCTAAACTCGCTATATTATAGGTTTTATACATTTTTTACAGCTTTTTGACATTTGCGACATTAGCTAATTTTATTTTTTTTTAACAAAAACCTCTTGAAATAACAAATTTGTCAAAAATCAATTACTTCTGTCCACTTTACAAGGTTCTTTACAAGTTTTTGACAGTTTAATACAGTTATTTGACATTTGTGACATCGAATTTTTGAAGAAATGTTATCGAAATATTTCTTTAAAGTAATTATTTTATACAAAATTATTAAAATTTTGAATCTTACTAGGTTTTATACAAGTTTTTGACAGTTTCATACATGCTTTTGACATTTTCGACATAGAATTTTGAAAGAAGATGTTCTTAAACATCTTCAAATTAAGGATAAAAAGCTACTAGAACAAACTGTTGTCAGTTTATACGTTCTTTACAAGCTTGCGACATTTATATACAGGTTTTCGACATTTGTGACATTGTACAGTACTAAAAATTTTCTTTAAAAATTCTTCAAATTTACTTTTTTACAAAGAGGAAGCAACATTTAATCTGTTTATAGGTTTTTTACAAGTTTTTGATAGTTTTATACAGGTCATTGACATTTGTGACATTGACAATTATAAAGAAATTTGTTAAAAACATATTTAAAGTAATTCTCTTATACAAAATTAACAATAATTTAAACTGTACTAGTTTTTTTACAAGTTTTTGCCAGTTTTATACATATTTTCGACATTTGTGACTTTGTCTACTTTTAGAAAAGTATTTAAATTTTATTAATTTATAAGAAATTAGCAAAATTATGGAGATTTATAGGTTTTCTACAAGCTTTTGACAATTTTATACAGATATTTGACATTTGCGACATTGTTAAATATGAACATTTTTGTTCAGAAATTTCTTTAAAATTAATAAATTTATAAAAAAAAAAAATTGAAAATGTTCGCACTTTTAGGTTTTTTACAAGTTTTTGACAGTTTTATACAGGTTTTTGACATTTGCGACATTACCTATTAATAGAAATTTTGCCTAAAATAATTTCAATTTTATAAATTTATAAGAAACTAACAAAATTATGGTGATTTTTAGGTTTTCTACAATTTATTGACAGTATTATACATGTTTTTGACATTTACGACATTATTTATTAATATAAATTTTGCCTAAAATTGTTTCAATTTTATTAATTTATAAGAAATTATCAACATAATGGTTATTTATAGGTTTTTAACAAGTTTGTTAACAGTTTTATACAAGTTTTTGACATTTACGACATTACCTATTTAACAAAATTTTGATTTTTTAAAACCATTTATAAGAAATTAGCAAAATTAAGGTGATTTATAGGTTTTCTCTAAGTTTTTGACAGTTTTATACAGGGTTTTGACATTTGCGACATTGTCTATTGACAGAAACTTAGCATAAAATTATTGAAGTTTAATTAATTTTTAAGTAGTTAGAAAAATTATGGTCATTTATAAGTTTGCTACAAGTATTTGACAGTTTTATACAAGTTTTTGACGTTTTCGACATTGTCTATTAGTGACATTTTTCTCTCAAACCTTTTTAAAATAGTTCCATTATATAAAATTACCAAAATTTCCATTGTTTCTAGGTTTTTTACAAGTTTTTGACATTTGCGACATCAAATGTCGTAAATGTCGAAAACTCTCATATTTTGTTTTTCGCCATTTCTGAACATTTTATGACGTTTGAGACAATAAAATTTTTTTACCATGACGTAAATGTCAAAAATGTCACAATTTTGTAAAAAAAACTAAAGTACACATAAAAGTACGCAATGGTGATGTAATTTAGAAGTGTTTTAATAAGACCTATTCAAAGAAATTCACCCTGATATACCTTTTAGGAAAAACACCATTTGAAAAAAGGGCCAATCCTTTAAAGAATTCAAATTTATGACAAATTTTCATAGTATTTAAGTTATATTTACATAATTAGTATATAAGTTATGAAAAATCGTTCATAAATCGCTGAGAAAAAAAAATATATCCATTCATTGATCTCTCAGTAATGATTTTATTTAAAAAATGTTTTTTATAAATAAATTTGATTGAGGTTTTGAAATATATTCCAGTAATTTTTTGAAATTTTCCAGCTCGTTTTTTACAAATCTTGAACTCACAAAGTCTCATGGAAATATTTATATATAATTCATTAAGTCATAAATTGTAAGATATTTTATTTTCTAAATATAGCTAAGATGATTTATGTATATGAAACGTAAAAATGGGAGAGGTGAGAGAGAGAGAGGATCTATATGGCTCACTCTCTTTATAAGAATTACATCAGTAAACAGATATCCCTCTCGAAACATGAATATAAAAAAAATAAATATTAAAAAAATATTGTAAGAGAGGGAGTGTAAGCCTCAGAGAGAGAGAGAGAGCTTGAGAGAGAGAGAGAGAGTATCCCCCATCTTTAAGTTTTGTATATTATTTTAGTCGTTATTTTTTAAATTAAAAAAATGTTTGATAAATTTGAAAAATTTTCCTTGTAAGTTTTGAGCGTAGCTTGTAAGTTAAGAAGTTTTATATTAAGTATTTAAAAAAATTTTCAAATTTTAAAATTTGTTATAAAAACGATTTTTGGTTTTTTTTCTATATAAGCTATTTTTTCTTTAAAAAAAATATTTAATTTATTTGGTTTATTATTTAATAATATTATTACTATATAAACTAAAACCTACCAGAAAAAAAAATAATTAAAAAAAAAAACAAATTATGTGTACTGTGTATTTGTTAAAAAAAAAAAACTGAAAAAAAAATCCCAAAAAACAAACAACGATTACAAAATTCGTTTTTAGGGTGATATTCACCGGAATCTACACATTTGAATCAGCTGTTAAAGTGATGGCACGAGGTTTCATTTTATGCCCGTTTACGTATCTTAGAGATGCATGGAATTGGCTGGACTTCGTAGTAATAGCTTTAGCGTGAGTTTTATTATTATTATTAATTAATTAATTACTAAACAAAAAAATTAAGTGTTTTATTATTTTATTTTTAATTTTAATTAAAAAAATAATTTTTAATTTTTTTAATTTAATTTTTTATTTCACCTAACAAACAACCAAAACTAATGAAAAACATGATCACCTCAAACTCTACTAAAAAATATTTTTTGGTTAGCCATTCTACCACAACAACAAACAAAACAAAAACACTTATAAAAAACAACAAGAGAAAAAAAACAAAAAATTAGAACAAACTCATTTCAATGGAAAATTTTGTTTATAAAAAAGTAAATAATTAATTCCCCCTTGCTCCCCCTACAATCACTTCCCTTACCTCTTTCGAAAATATTTTTTTTTATTTATTTTCTTTAAATAATTGTGCAGTAATTTTGTTACAAATCATAGTCATAGTCCCAATATATAACCCTTTTTCCCAATGTGTTACTTCCCCCAGACCCCCTTCCCACTTACTCTCATAACTTTAAATATATATCTCTCTTTATATATATTCGTATATAATCCTTAGTTAAATGTAATTAATAATCATTTACAAAAACCCCCATTTTCCCCCCGCCTCTTTCGTATAAATCGTATAACCAGACCAAGAAAAAGTAGTTTTTGTTTTAATAAAAAAATGTATTTAACCATTAAACTCAGAGTCCATATAATAATCGCCGCATATATACTCGTATATCTACGTATTTGAAAATAAATATATAAACAACAACAAAATATTTATATATACGTAAATTACATATATATCTAATCATTATATCATAGTTAATTGTTTTTTTTTTTAATTTTTAAATAAAAACATTTTTTTATAATTTTAAATTTAAAAAAATATTTTATTATATTTTTTTAAACTTTTATGCATTTATAAAAAAAATATATATTTTCACATCAACATTCATTCTTCAAACATTGCAACACCAACGAGGGTGGTGTGTTAAGTGATAAAAAATAAGATTTTTGACGGTTTTGCAACGATTTTTACGTTTTATACAGGTTTTCGACATACATTATAAGAAAATTTCCGAAAATTTTTGTGAGGGTTAAACTTTTGCTAAATTTTTGGGAGATTTCAAAATTTTACACATAAAAACTAATTTTAGACGTTTTTGACAATTTTTTACAGGTTTGTTAAATTTTTTACAAAACTCATTTTAATATTTTTAATATTATATTGAATTTTTGATGTTTTGAGAGTTTTATACAGGTTTTACAGCAATTTTCTTGAGTTTTTGACATTTTCTACATGTTTGTGACATTTACGACACATGATTTTATACGTCAAAAGTTCAAAATGTAACAATACATTACTGATTATAACAATACATACAGATTTTGGCGGTTTAAGGCACTTTTTATACAAGTTTACGACATTCTGTTACATTTTTTACAAAACTCTTTTTAATATTTAATATTGATTTTTTATGTTTTGAGGGTTTTAAATAGGTTTTATAGCAATTTTCTTGAGTTTTTGACATTTTCTACATGTTTGCGACATTTACGACATATGTATTTGTTCATAAAAAGATCATAATGTAACAATACCATACAGATTATAACAATACATACAGATTTTGGCGGTTTAAGACACTTTTTATACGTTTTATACAAGTTTACGACATCTTCGAAATTTGTTTTTTTTTTCGTTAAATAAACAAAATTTATCGAGAACATATCGATTATAAAAAATTTCTTATGAGTTGGAAGTTTTATACAGGTTTACGACAACGTTTTTACGTTTTATACAACTTTACGACATTGAAATTGAAACTCAAATTTCACCCAACACTCAAAAGAATCTCTTATTGCAAAAATACTATACTTTAAAGGGTATATTTGGTGTTTTTGACATTTTATACAGGTTTACGACATTTGTGACATTAACAAAAATTGTCCAAATATGTCGCCCTAAATCACAATTGAAATTGAGCTTTAGCATTTCCTATGTACAAAATCAAATATACAACCTTATATTTTAAAAGTTTTTGACATTTTTTACAAATTTGCGACATTTACGACATATAAAGTTTTTTTATTTGTCAAAAACTCAAACTGTAGCAATGTCATATGGAATATATGAAATTTTTTGAGGTTTTATACAGGTTCACGACATCGTTTTTACATTTTATACAAGTTTACGACATTTAATTAAATTTAATTTTTATACACTCAAAACAATATCATATAGCTAAATTGAGAAATATTACAAGACATTTTTTAAGTGTTAGGCATTTTATACAGGTTTACGACATTAAATAAAAAAATTCGTTCAAATATCGCAATAAATCACAATGTAAATTAATTGATTTTTAGCATCTACTACATACAAAATCAAATGTGTAACCTTATAAGTATCTAATATTGAGTTTATTAGGTTTTGAGGGTTTTATACAGGTTTACGACACACTTTAACGTTTACGACATTTACAAGTTATGTATTTTTTTGTGGAAAATTCAAATATTACCAAAACGAAATAGATACGATTAAGTATATGAGGTTCTGAGGGTTCTATACAATTTTACAACATAGTTTATACGTTTTATACAAGTTTGTGACGTTTTAGACATTGACAATGTTTCTCCAAAACATCAAATATTATCGAAACTAAGTAGATGATATTGAATTTATAACTTATTGATGGTTTTATACAAGTTTACAACACTGTTTATACGTTTTATACAGGTTAGCGACATTTTTGACATATGTAATTTTTTGCCCAAAAATCAATTATAACCGAAACTAAGTAGCCAAATGTATAAGGTTTTGAGAGTTTTATACAGGTTTAAGACATAATTTTAAAATATGACCAAAATGAAGTACATAATATTCAATATATGAACGTTTTATACAGGTTTACGACATTGTTTATACCTTTTATACAAGTTTGTGACATTTACAAATTACGTACTTTTTCGTTTTTAAATCAAATATTACCGAAACTAAGTATTTAATATGGAATTTATAACTTATTGATGTTTTATACAGGTTTACGACACTGTTTTTATATTTTATACAAGTTTACGACATTTTTGACATAGGTAATTTTTCGCCCAAACATCAATTATAACCGAAACAAAGTAACTAATATCAAATTTATAAGGATTTGAGGGTTTTATACAAGTTTTCGTCATTTGTGACGTTTACGACATTTTTGAAAATTTGCTGTCGTAAATGTCAAATACTTAAATTTACGATTTTTTGAGGGTTTTGGCATTTTCATCTAGTTTTTCAACATTTACAACCTGTTTTGCTATGGAACAAAGAGAAAATAAATTTTGCTCTCTTAATTATTACACCGCCCTCGTTCTCTTTTCATCCATATTAATCAACTAACATTTTTTATTTTATTATTTTTTAATTAATTATTTATGTTTTTAATTAGTTTCAAAAAAATACTAACTTGTCTCTCTGTCTCTTGTATAAAATAAAATCTACAACTATAATTTTTGTATAATAGATATTGAAAATTGTTGTGTGTAATTAATCTCTTTTTATTTTTCTTTTGAAAAAAAAAAACCAAAAAAAAATCCAACAACAACAACAAAATACATATGAACATCCTACACCAACCAACCCCCCCATCATAACACCTCTGAAAATCTCTAAAATCAACCTTGCACCCCAAATCCAAACAAAACACAGTTATGTGACTATGGGTATAGATTTAGGTAATCTCGCAGCTTTGAGAACATTTAGGGTACTGCGAGCTCTGAAAACCGTAGCCATTGTGCCAGGTAAATTAAACACCAAAGAAAAACTATTTTCTCTTTTGAAAATTTCTCTCTTCCTATCTCTCTTTTTCTTATTTTGTATACTAATAAAATCTCTTTTGTATCCCCTCCTCCAGGTCTAAAAACCATTGTCGGTGCTGTCATTGAATCTGTAAAAAATCTACGCGATGTGATAATTTTGACAATGTTTTCCTTATCGGTGTTCGCGCTGATGGGCCTACAAATCTATATGGGTGTTCTAACACAAAAGTGCATTAAACGATTCCCCCTGGACGGCAGCTGGGGCAATCTGACCGATGAAAACTGGTTTCTACACAATAGCAACAGTTCGAATTGGTTTACGGAGAACGATGGCGAATCGTATCCGGTGTGCGGGAATGTATCCGGTGCGGGGTAAGTAACAGAAAAGCTCTTAAAAAGAGCCATAAGCTCTCAGAGAATATTTCCAAAGGTCCTCTATAGAATGAGGTCTTCTCTTCGGGACACTGAAAGAGAAAAAATATTCTTATTCTGTAGATAAAAGAGAACATGCACTCTCTTCTATGGAAATGAAGAGAAGGCGCGTTGTCTTTTATGGACTACAAGAAAGGTTCTCTTCAAGAAATAGAAGAGCATATCTTTTATAGGATAAATGAGAGAAATAAGAGATTATTTTCTATTCTAAAGAGAGAAATTTTCTCGTCATGAAATCAGAAGAGAATCTGTTCCATAGGATAGAATAAAATCTCTTTTTTATGATTGAAGAGAATATTTTTTATGTAGATGAGGATTTCTTCACTAGGATAGAAGAGAATCTCTTCTATAGGATAGAGGATAATCTCTTCTATACGGTAGAAGAGAATCTCTGCTATAGGATAGAAGACGACTTCTTCTATAGGATAGAAGAGGATCTCTTCTATAGGATAGAAGAGGATCTCTTCTATAGGATAGAAGAGGATCTCTTCTATAGGATAGAATAGAATCTGTAGGATTGAGGTAATATCTTCTATAGGATTAAAGAGAATCTCTTCTATAGGATATAATAGAATCTTCTGTAAAATAGAAGAGAAGCTATTCTACAGAATACAAATATCTTCTTTAGAATAGAGGTGGAGCTCTTTTATGGTAGAAGGAGAGAATCTCTTTTATGGAATAGAAGATAACATTTCTTCTTTCGAATAGAAGAGATCCTCTCATCTTTCAAATAGAAGAGATTCTCTCGTCTATCAAGTAGAAGAGAACTTCTCTTCTATCAAGAGAAGATAATCTCTTTCCTATAAAAGGAATAGAACTCTCTCCTATCGAATAGAAGAGATCCTTTCTTCTATCGAATAGAATAGAACTTATCTTCCATCAAAAGAAGAGAATCTCTCTCCTATCGAAAGAAGAGAAAGTCGCTTCGATGGCATAAAAGAGAACTTCTCTTCAATAGTGTGTAAGAGAAGCTCTCTTCTATCCAAGAGATGCGACCCTCTCTTTTATCAAAAGAAAGGAGCCTCTCGTATCAAAAGAAAAGAACCTTTCTTCTATCGAATCGAAAAGAACCTCTCTTTTGTCGTATAGAAGAGAAGCTATCTTCTATGGCATTGAAGATAATCTCTCTTTTATAACGAAGAGAATTTCTCTCCTTTCGAATAGAAGATAACCTTTCCTTTTGCAGAACTCTGAGGAGGGCCTTAAACATAGAATATAAAACCTGCTGTGAGGGTCTTTTAAGAACAGAAGGCCTTTGAAGTCCTATGGTGAAGGGAAGACCTCCATTGGGGCTCTTCTAGAGAATAAATTACATCCCGAAGGCTCCGAAAATATTTTTTTGAATTTTTATTTTATCTGCGACGAATTTTCTAATGCTTCTCTCTTTTTTTCTGTTTTCCCTCTCTCTCTCTCTCTTTTCAGACAATGCGGCGAAGATTATGTCTGCCTGCAGGGCTTCGGCCCCAATCCCAACTACGATTACACCAGTTTCGATTCATTCGGTTGGGCATTCCTGTCGGCGTTCCGTCTCATGACGCAAGATTTCTGGGAGGATCTGTATCAGCACGTGCTGCAAGCAGCTGGACCCTGGCACATGCTGTTCTTTATAGTCATCATCTTCCTAGGTTCATTCTATCTTGTGAATTTGATTTTGGCCATTGTTGCCATGTCTTATGACGAATTGCAAAAGAAGGCCGAAGAAGAAGAGGCTGCCGAGGAGGAGGCGATACGAGTAAGTAGACGGTTTTTCATGCTGCTGCGCAGCTGCAGTTGGCTTTCGATTTGGTTTTGTGATCACAGAACGTTGCGGCTGTTGCTGCGGCCGACTGCTTTATCGGTTGCCAAATATTATCAATTTCAATTTTGGTTTGGTCTGTGCAAAATTCAAATTGATAATATTTGGGGAAAGCAAAAAAAAGAGATACTCGAAATCGGGACTTTTTCTATAAGTAGTGTAGAAATGCTCCTAAGCTAACCGATCGTATTGAAGAACTGGGGCGGACCACATCCTAGGTCCCCCTGGTTGGCCTCGTTTTAAGTGTTTTTTTGAAATGTTCGTTATGGAAATGATTGATTGTCGTTTCAATATTTCGTTTTGAGTTGAGTTGTATTGTAGGGCCATTCGTTCCGAATGGCTCGAATGATCTCTTCTACATCTGTTTTTCTTTTTTCCCATATTTTTTTCAATATATAGCCTTTACAACAACATTAACATTCGTATACTTGTCTTAAGTTCTACTAACCAAAAAAAAACTAAAACAATTTTGAGTTCATTTTTACAACAACAAAAAACACAAGCAGAAGTTTATTAACCCGCCGTAATTTTTACCATGGAATGGCTGTTTAAAAAAAATATTTTTTTTGGCTTTTTATTGAAAAAAAAAAATACAAAAACAAAACAAAAAAAACAAAACATTACCCAGGACCTGAGTTGAAATTGTTGTAACCGTGCAAAACATCGTTACGTTATTGTCGTTGTCCATAGTTTTTTTTACGTTACGCTTATTGGTCTTAATTTTTAATCATTCGAAACCCCTGAACTAACCCCGAATCTCTTGAAATTATTCTCTCTTTCTCTCTCTCAAACACTTTACCCACTTGAACAAATTTCTAGGAAGCTGAAGAAGCGGCAGCAGCCAAGGCGGCCAAACTGGAGGAGCGAGCCAATGTAGCAGCTCAAGCGGCTCAGGATGCAGCGGATGCCGCTGCGGCAGCTCTGCATCCCGAGATGGCAAAGAGTCCCACATACTCTTGCATTAGCTATGAACTGTTTGTTGGCGGCGAGAAGGGCAACGATGACAACAACAAAGAGAAAATGTCCATACGCAGCGTCGAAGTGGAATCGGAGTCGGTGAGCGTTATACAAAGACAACCAGCACCTACTACAGCACCCGCTACTAAAGTCCGTAAAGTTAGCACGGTAAGTACAACGCAGCTGGCTAATGTGCTTTCAAAATTTTTTTTTTTTTGTCTCCATTATCTCTCTCTCTATCTCAACTCTACTCTCCTATAAAAAAACAACAACTACTAACACAAGTACTCCTAACAATACCTGTCAATACTTCCCAAACTACAGCTGTTACAAACCACTACTACTTCTCTACAACAACAAAAACAACAACTACTAATACTCCTAACTCTACAGACAGACATACTTTCAAACAGATTTTTAACTCTCCATAAACAAAACTCAGTTACTTCCCAAACATTCCACCTCCCCCACCCCTCTTCCAACACTTTAGATAAATTTCCGAGCAATCCAAATTTCTAATTTAATTTATTTTTTTCTTAATTTAAAAATTTATTTCCTTGATTTAGGAATTAGTTCTTATTTTTTTTCATAAATGATCCAAAAGCTTTAATGGACACATCTTTAAAAAAGCTTCTATAGAAACGTTTTCCCTCTAAAGTTTTAGAATACGATATTCCCTCCTATGGCTATAATATCTTCCCTCAAGAGGGGTCTATAAGGAAATTGCGGTGATCCAAAGCTTAAAGCTTTGTAAGGAAAGCTTTAATGGTCAATTTCAAAAAAAAGCTTTAACCGTGGAAGTTTTCTATCCGATCCAAAATGAATTTTTAGGGCAATGAGTTTGAAGCACCTTTAAAGCATTATAGAACAGTTTGTTGGCAGTATAAGACTTTGTATAAGAGTGTGAAATTAACTGAAAGATCCATAGATCTAGTTTTAGGGCATGTCATAGACACCGAATGAGTTTGATATAACATCTATGCCATATAAGGCCATATTTAGACTGTATAAGACTTTGTATAAGAGTATAAGACGAACTGAACGATCCAAATTTAATTTTTAGGAAATGTCATTGACGTTGAGTGCGTTTGAAACGCCTTTAAAGCAGTATAAGATGATTTTTAGATAGTATAAGACTTTGTATAAGAGTATAAGACGAAAAGCACCCAAAAGTATTTTTAGGACATTTCTTTGGCACTAAATGAGTTTGAAACACTGTTAGAATAAGACCATTATTAGACAATATAAGACTTTGTATAAGAGTATAAGACGTAACTAAACGATCCAACATAAATTTTTAGGTCATCTAAAAGAAACTGAAAATAAATTGTTAGGTCATCTAAAAGAAACTTAAAGAGTTTTAAACGCTTTTGAGACAGTATAAGACAGTTTTTGGACAGTATAAGTCTCTGTATAAGAGTATAAGTTTTGATATTTTGGCAGTATAAGACTTTTTATAAGGGTATAAGACGAACTAAAAGACCGAAGATGTATTTTTAGAGCATGTCATAGTAACCGAATGACTTTTAAATCTCGTTTAAAGCAATATAAGACAGTTTTTTTTTGGAAGTATAAAATATTATTTTTTGTAGTATAAGATGTTGTATAAGAGTGTACGACAAACTGAACGATCGAAAATTAATTTTTAAGGCATGCAATGGGAACTAAGTGAGTTTTAAACTTCGTTTAAAGCAGTATAAGAGGTGTTTTTGGTAGTATAAGAGATGGTATAAGTTTCTAAGACTCTGAAAAAATCAAAATGAATTTTTATGGCATGCCATTGGCGCTTAATGCGTTAGAGACCCCCTTTATACCAGTATAAGACAGTTTTTGGACAGTATAAGTGTATTTGTATGAGTATAAAAGGAACTAATCTTATCGAAAATAATTTATTTTGAGTTTTACAGGTATATATTGAGTATAAAAATATTTTTAAAATTTTACAGGACAATTTTATGGGAGTATAAGACTCTTTATGAAAGTATAAGTGGAGCTGTAGTTTCGAAAAATAATTTATAGGAAGTTTTAAATACATTTATTATTTTTTTCAATATTTTTAAAGCCATACAGGTCAGTTTTCTGAGAGTATAAGACTTTTTATAACAGTATAAGAGTTTTCAAAAATTAAGTAAAACAACTTTTTGTGATTTTTAAAGGGTATGCGACCATTTAGTGGACAATTTTTATGATATCTAAACAAATTTCCTCAGTATGTGACAGTTTTTAGTCAGTATAAGTGTATTTGTATGAGTATGAGACGAACTGAACTATTCGAAAATAATTTATTTGGAATTCTAAAGACATTAGTGGAGTAAATAAATATTTTTAACGTTGCACCGGACAATTTTATGGAAGTATAAGACTTTATAGGAATGTATAAGAGGAACCGAAAGCTCCAAAAATAATTTTTAGGAATTTTTTAAGTTATTTATTGAATACATAAAAATTTGCAAAGCAATGCAGCACAATTTTCTGAGAGTATAAGACTTTTTATAACAGTATAAGAGTTTTCAAAAATTTTGTAAAACGACTTTTTGTGATTTTTAAAGGGTATGCGACCATTTAGTGAACATTTTTATGATATCTATGGGAGTATAAGACTTTTTATGAGAGTATAAGAGGAGCCGAAAGCTCCAAAAATAATTTTTAGGAAGTTTTTAAGTTATTTATTGAGTACCTAAATATTTTTAAAGCAATGCAGCACAATTTTCTGAGAGTATAAGACTTTTTATAACAGTATAAGAGTTTTCATAAATTTAGTAAAACGACTTTTTGTGAATTTTAAAGGGTATACGACCATTTAGTGGACAATTTTTATGATATCTCAACAAGTTTCCTCCCTTTTTTCACTAAAAATTTATGGGAACTCCTTGGAGAGGTCTCCAATTTTAGTTTTTCCCAAATTTTTCCTTAACTTCTAGAAAAAGAAGGAAAACAAATTCCATTTTCTTTTTTATATTTAATTTTGTATTAAATTACAAACGTTTTACCCTCCCCAAAAAACACATCCTTTTGTGCCACCAGAAAAGAAAAACATTCGCTCTCTCTCCCTCCCTCTCTCTCTCTCTCTCTACGAAAAGCATGCTGTTTGATTAATGAATGTTTGCTTCATTTGTTTTGTGGTGTCTGTGTTAATATTGATTGGATGATGAGTATGAATTTCAATATATTTTGGAATTTTTTTTTTTATTATTTTTAATTTGTTTTGGAAATGTTAGAAATTTGTTTCTTAACTCTTGAACTATTGCTTGGCCAGCTTAGTTTTAGTTTCTCTTATTTATTTTTTTTTTCTTACAGCACAATTTTGTTCGGTTTTTTTTCATTACTAGTTCCGATATGATTTCTGTTTTGAGAAACCATTGTTTGTTGTTGAAAGCCTTGTTTATGGGTATAGGTGTGTGCGTGTGTATGTTCTTGGCAAAAAAAGCATGCTAATGATGTTTGAGACCTGTCACCTGCGAAAGACCCAAGAAAAATAAAAGAAACACACCTCAAGGATCAGATCCTTCCTAGGAGATTTTTTGGGGAAAATTCCCAGTATTGAATTTTTTTTTTGGCTTTTGTTTTGAAATAATATTTTAAAATAAAAAAACACAAACATCCATTGTCATGTCATTTAAGTTATAATAATAATCAAAACCCCGCACGCCGCAGCTAAGGCTACACCGAAAGAAAAAAATACTCACAAAAATTATTTTTTTTTTTACAAAAATGCTTCAACACAAGCTGCGTTGAAATCTGTCCAATTTTTGTACACCATATCTTCAATAAAAAATTTTTAAGAGAAAAAGACTTTTTTGAAAACGAAAAAAAAAATTTTAAAAATCTAAAATTTTTTTTTATCCTTGAGAAGCAAAAAATGAAAAATCCCAAAAAAAAAACTTTGCCTTGCCTTTTACCATATTGCCTGTTAATTATCTACTTAATTACTATTTTATACAAAAAAAAAAATTGGCTTCAATTATTCATTTTCCTTAAGTAGTTCAAAATGCTCCTTATCTGTCCAACTTTTGCTCTGTGCGCCTATCTCTCTCTCTGTCTGTATAAGAGCTTTTAAGAAAACTAAATCGATTTGTTGTCAAGCTCCTTTCAAATTGTAGAGCCCTCGATGACAAATCGCTTTAGTTTTTTTTTGCTCCAACGTTTCTAAACCAGGTAGGTTTCTTAATTTTTTTGTCGTTATACAACAAATATTTCTAAACAAATACAAACCAAAAACATCAACAACAACAAACAAAATTCCATATAAGACCAAACACCCATTAAGAAGAAAAAAACTCCAATTAAAAATTGGTATACACCCTGAACAAAAAACCTCAGCCTGATTACAGAACCACCTGAAACTGCCACCCACACCACCCCTATATAGACATCAGGAACAAAATGGAAACAAAACACAAAATGTCACCCAACAAAATTCCACAAACCAAGCTGAAAAAAGTCAATAAAAAAGGAGAGAAAATAAAGAAGTTTCAGTTCTGAAATACCATCGCCATAGGCCCCTCTTTCGAACTACAGTAAAATTCCGTTTGATTGCCTATGATGATAAATATCTCAATTCCGCTCGTTCCTCCACTTCGATCGAATTTACTATCCATATGAGTTATTTAAAAATTATGCACAGGCATATTCCCATTCAGTAGAGTCCTTTCCCTTAAAATTCGGAGTTTTGAAATGATTTGGAACATTTCAATTCCACCCGTTCCTCTCCTGTTCAACAAATGTTAGGATTTTCATGGTCATACGAAAGTATTTTAACTAGACTAAAGTATATTTGTAGTCATCCATAGGCCCCTCCTTCGAACTACAGTAAAATTTCGTGCTGTTCCCCATGATAAATGTCTCAATTCCGCTCGTTCCTCCACTTCGTTTGAATTTACTACCCATATGAAATATTTAAAAATTATACAGCGGCATATTCCAATTCCCTTAAATTCCCTTCCCTTAAAATTCGATAACAATTTTCAGTTTTGAAATGATTTGGACCATTTCAATTCCAACCGTTCCTCTCATTTTCTACAAAATTTATGGGTTTTGATTTGCATTGCCTTGAGGCATATTTCGTGTACGATAAATCATTTCTTTTCAAATTCGTTAAAAATTTTCAGTTTTGAAATGTGGAACCAATTAACCCTTTTCTACAAATTTAATCCACACAAAATTCCTTAAAAATTTTGAGGTTTGAAAACACGAAACATTTCAATTCCACCCGTTCCTCTCCTATTCTATAAATTATAGGGTCACATGATTTGATTTCCATTGCCTTGAGGCATATTTCGTATACGATAAATCATTTCTTTTCAAATTCGTTAAACATTTTGAGTTTTAAAATGATTTGGACCATTTCAATTCCAACCGTTGCTTTCGTTTTTTACCAATTTAAGAGTCACATGATTTGATTTTCATTGCCATGAAGCATATTTCGTGTCCAATTAGCTATTTTTTTCAAATTCCTTAAGAATTCGTTAAAATTTTTGAGGTTTAAAAACATGAAACATTTCAATTCCACCCGTTCCTCTCAGTGTATATAAATTTTAAGGTCATATGATATGATTCGCATTATCTTGAGACATATTTCGTGATCGATTAACCCTTTTCTTTACAAATTTTTTAAAAATGTTGCATTTTGAAAACTCGAAACATTTCAATTCCACCCGTTCCTCTCCTATGCTATAAATTTTAGGGTCACATGATTTGATGCTATAAATTGCAGGGTCTTATGAAATAATTTCTACAAACCTAAAGGTATATTTCTTATCCGTTAAATTCCTTCTTTTCAAATTCATTAAAAATTTTAAGGTGTGAAAATTAAAAACATTTCAATTCCAACTCGTTCCTCTAAAACATTAGGGGGTTTTATGGTCATACGGAACTATTTTAACTAGTTTGAGGTATATTTTTAATTACCCATAGGCTCTTCTTTCGAACTACAGTAAAATTTCGTGTGGTTCTCCATAATAAGTGTCTCAATTCCGCTTGTTCCTCCACTTCGATCGAATCTACTACTCATATGAATTATTAAAAGGTAATTCTGAAGCACATTCTTAATCAACAGAGTTCGTTCTTTTCCAGTGCATTAAAAATGCTGATGTTTGAAAATTCTAAATTCTAAACTTCAGTGTTTCAATTCCACTCGTTCCATTAATAATTTTTACTTTTTGCCCAAATGATAACGGATATAATAAAAAATTGAGTTACAATTGCCATATAAAGCTCTTTTTTCTTATAAATGTCTTCAAAATTTTGCTATGCGTCAATTTTCATGATTTCCATAAATTATTGTCGTTCATAGAGGCAAATGACGTGCTATATAGAAATTTGAGGTATTTTTGGAATGGGAAAGGAATTCTCTTTCCAAATTCATGTCGAGTTTTTATGAATCTGTAAAATTTGGTGTTTCAATTCCACTCGTTCCTTTAATTTTTTATACTTTTTCACAAATAATAATGAATAATACAGTAGTTTTGGTTATATTAGTCATCAGAAAATTATGTTTTCTGAGATATGCCCTAAAAATATTGATGGAAGTGCATTTTCATGATTTCATTTCCATTCGTTCCACAAGTTTTTGACGTTTTTAAACACAAATGGTGAGCTATCATGAAGTTTGAGGTATTTTTGGAATGGGGAATAAATTCTCTTTCCAAATTCATGTCGAGTTTTTATGAATCTGTAAAATTTGGTGTTTCAATTCCGCTCGTTCCTTTAATTTTTTATACTTTTTCACAAATAATAATGGATATTACAAAACATAGGGTTATATTTGTCATAAGAAAATTAGTGTTTCTGAGATATACCTTAAAAATATTGCTATGTGTACATTTTCCCGATTTCATTTCCATTCGTTCCACAAGTTTCTTGCATTTTTAGGGGCAAATGAAGTGCTATCATGAAGTTTGAGGTATTTTTCAAATGGGAAAGAAATTTTCTTTCCAAATCTATGTAGAGTTTATACATATGATCAATTTTGGGTGTTTCAGTTCCACTCGTTCCATTAATAATTTTCGTTTTTTAACAAATAATAATGAATATTACAGAAATTTGGGTTATATTTTCATTAGAAAACTCTTTTTTTCTGAAATATACTATAAAAATATTGATATGTGTACATTTTCCTGGTTTCATTTCCATTCGTTCCAAAAGTTATTGCCGTTATTAGGGGCAAATGATGGACTGTCATGATGTTTGAGGTATTTTTGGAATGGGGAAGGAATTCTCTTCCAACTTTCATGTGAAATTATAAAGTGTACTCAATTTTTGGTGTTCCAATTCCACTTGTTCCAAATATATATATTTTCAATTTTAATGGAAATTGAATGGATTTTGTTGACAAGTAGTATTTAGAGTGATATTCTCTTTGACATTTCTTTATTTTCTCTCTCTCTCTTTCTCCAGTAAAATTTCCCCTCCTCCTTCTCCTCATTGTATTGAAAACTTTTAAACACATTTTAGCTAATAATTTTTTGAATTTTTTTTTAGTGGAAACAATTTAGTGAAAAAAAAACGTAATGGTAAATTCAGTAATATCAATGTGTAAAAAATCACAAAACTTCTTAATTTCTTTTATAATTTAATTTTTTAATGTTAGCTGTAAAACTTTTAAAAGTATGCCTTAAAATTTGAAGAAAACAAATGAAAATAATAATCCTGTAAAATGTTCTAAAAAGTAAAAAAGTAAATGCTAAAATTCCTGCCATTAAAAAATCATTAAGGATTTCATAAAACTGAAATTTTAAATAAATAAATTTTTAATTTAAATGAAAATGTTAATTTTTTTATGTAGAATTTAAATGAGATTTTTTTTGTAACGTAGAAGTAATAAAAAAAAACTTTTTATAAATGTAGTATATAGTTTGAGAAATTAAAGAAAAAAAAATTCCCCTAGTTTTGAAACCCAAGAACAAAAGCGAGAAATCCGCAAATCCACCCTCGCAAATCACCACCTCGTTCGTTAATTTGTTACGTTAAGTGTAAAACTTCAAAACATTGTTTCCTAAACCCCACATCATTAAAATCTCTCTCTCGCTCTTTCTAACAACTCTCTGTCTCTTTCCGTCTGTCTCTCATACACTCATTTCCCCCTTTGATTGTATTTGAACTCACCTGTGTTTGATTGATTGATTCACACTCAACCGAAAGAAAAAAATGTTTTGAATTGATTTACATTTTCCAAATTTTCCCCTAACGTTTTGGTACACTTTAAAAATTTAACCCCCCTCCAACCAACCACCAAATCACTAATACCAACCACCACGGAATACCCTCACTAACCTGACACATAACTACTACTACTTTTTCCGTTTTTTTATAGAAATAGTTTTAAGTACCAAAAAAACAAAATTAGAAACTGCAATTAAAAATTCAAAAAAAAATAAAAAATAATTTTTGCAACAACAACAAAAAAATATTTACAACCTTGATTTGACCTTTTGATTTTCTATTTTTCTTGTTGTTTTATTTATTTTTTCTTCTTGTTCTATATATGATCTTGTTTTTGTAATACATTTGCAAAAATATAACAACAACAACAACTACAAAAAAAATTCTTAGACTTCCTTATCCTTACCTGGTTCACCATTTAATCTACGCCGGGGATCACGTAGTTCACACAAGGTAAGAATGAAGATATTGAACGAAAACAACAACAACAATAATATGATGAAATGACATTCAGCAAAAAATAAATAAATTTTGAAAACGTAATATGTTGTGTGGTAGTAAAGATGTGTAAAAATTTGCACCCCCGACCCACCACATAATCGTCTACACTTTGCTGCTCTTCTACTTGATTTTGCTCTCTGTAATATTTTGTATTTTTTTGTAAAAAAAAACCAACACACATAGGGTGTCAGTCATCATTACACCACATACGTTATTCGTACATACCACACCATATTCACCATATTTCGTATTTCGCAAATTCACCACTATGTGTCAAATTCACCAAAAGCATTCCATAATAATTTTTTTTCGTTAAGCTTGATTGCGTTAATCAAAAAAAAAAAATGATATAAAAATATATTCTACAAAATTTAGTGTTTCATTTCCACTCGTTCCCTGACAATATAACATTTAAAATGACTTGATTGCCTTGCAAATTCTGTTAGATAAAACAATTATCTTTATAAATACATATCATTTGATATTATTAATGGCCGCTAAGTTTTTCAATTCCGCTCGTTCCTCTATACTTTTAAGATTTTGAAGAGAATTGAAAAAATTTCCCCAGTTTTGTAACATATTCTGATATACATACATATTCGTTGCGCTTGATTACATAAATTAAATAATGTATTAAAACATATATTCTACACAAATTTTGTGTTTCAATTCCACTCGTTCCCCGACAATATTACGATTTAAATGACTAAGTTTCCTCAAATTCGTTTACAAAAATCAATCCCCTTCTAATGGCGTCCTTTTTGATATTGTAAATACTCTTTAAGTGTTTCAATTCCACTCGTTCCTCTGTATTTTACAAATTTTAATAATCACTAAATGTCTCCATTGCATCAAACACTGTTTCACACATCAATTCTCTTCTAAAAGGCATTTCACTCGGTATTGTAAATCATCTCCAAGTCATTCAATTCCGCTCGTTCCCCTGTATTTTAAAGCTTTTATTGAAATGGAAATCGATTTGAAGCACTTTGAATCACATTCTGAATTGCATTATCGTTTTCTTTAGGTCAGTATTTCATTCAATGATGTGTACTAACACAATTGTATTTTGAATCGTAAAATAGTTCTCTTTAGATCAGCATTTCATTTGACGATTTGTGCCAACAATTATTGTCTCAATTCCACTCGTTCCTCTGTTTCATAACAATATAGAAGCCCAAAAATATTGCAGCAAAACAACTTTAGGTCATATTCTGTATAAGGATATATTTTTCTTTATGCATACATTGTCACATACGTACATTTTTGCGTTTCAATTCCAATTGTTCCACGACAATATTATGATTCAAATTGATTATTTTCCTCAAATTCTGTTCGAAAAAGCAATTCCCTTTGAAACGGCGTCATTTTTGATACTGTAAATACCTTCTAAGTATTTCAATTCCACTCGTTCCTCTGTATTTTAAGATTTTAATAATCATTAAATGACTCCATTGCACCAAATTCTATGTTACACATCAATTCTCTTCTAAAATGCATTTTACTCGATGTTGTAAGTCATGTACAAGTATTTCAATTCCACTCGTTCCTCTCTATTTTAAAGTTTTTAAAAGAATGGAAATCGATTTTAAATATATTGTATTGAATTTTGAATTGTAAGACAGTTACCTTTAGATCAGTATTTCATTTGAGGATGTATGCCAACAAATAGTGTCTCAATCCCACTCGTTCCTCTGTTTCATAACAATATAGAAGCCCAAAAATATTGCAGCAAACTACTTTAGGTAATATTCTGTATAAGGATACATTGTAAGTCAGTTCTCTTTAGATCAGTATTTCATTTGACGATGTATGCCAACAAATAGTGTATCAATCCCACTCGTTCCTCTGTTTCATAAAAATATAGAAGCCCAAAAATATTGCAGCAAACTACTTTAGGTAATATTCTGTATAAGGATATATTTTTCTTTATGCATACCTACACTATTGTCACATAGGTACATTTTTGCGTTTCAATTCCAATTGTTCCTCATACGTTTTTTCCGAAAACTATTATTATTTCATTAAATAATTTCCATTAAATATTGTAAAAAATTCTATTCTCTTTCAAAAATCCTCTGTTTTGATAGTATAGACTATCAATAAGGGTTTCAATTCCGCTCGTTCCTCACAATAGTTCATTTTTCAAGAAAACGGAAAACGATTTCAACAATTTGAAAGCATATTCGGATTATGAAAATTAACAGAATTGTCATTGAACTAGATTTTTTGACAATAAAATAGTGTCCCAATTCCACTCGTTCCTCTGTTTCACTACAAATTTAAATAGGAAAATGACTGCAAGCAAACTTGAATCATATTCTGTATAAGGACATAGTTTTCTTTCGACATACAAAATGTTGACATACAAATAGGCAAAATGTTGAATTTCTATTCCACTTGTTCCTCCTGTCAATAAGCGTTTCAATTCCGCTCGTTCCTCCGGTTTTTTGTGTTTTCAAGAAATCGGGAACGTTTTTCATTTATTTTAAAGCATATTCTGATTAAGAAATTCAACAGAATTGTGACTGAATTACATTTATTGACATGTACAAAGGAACAGTGTTCCAATTCTATTCGTTTCTCTGTTTCATTATAGTTTAAAAGACAAAAATTATTGCTAACAAGCAACTTTGGATCATTTCTTATAAAAAATATAAATTTTTCTCTTTGCATACACATAATATTATGACATATAGACCATTTGAAATTTCAATTCCATTCGTTCCTCTAAGAAAATTTTGATTTTTATATAAAAACATCAAGGGAAAAATTCATTACAAATTGTCGCAACTACGAAATGTTATTCTCTCAAAATAAGTAAGTTACAATTATGGGCAAAAATCTAGAATATTTCAATTCCACTCGTTCCTCTATGAATATTTTGATTTTTGCAGAAAAAAGTAAGGAAAATTTGTATGAAAAAATTGGAAACAAGAAAGTATTATGCTTTCGAAATGGGTAAGGCAGAATTATCTGTGATAATTCAGAGCATTTCAATTCCACTCGTTCCTCTAAAAGAAATCTTGATTTTTATTCAAAAAGTAAGGGAAAATACATTGGATTTTTTTAGACAAGTAAGTGTCATGATTTCCAAATATGCAAACTAGATTTATCTGCAAAAATCTAGAATGTTTCAATTCCATTCGTTCCTCTGAAAAAATTGATTTTTAAAGAAAAAAATAAGGAAAATTTCAAAAACAGTAGGAAACAAGAAATTATTATTCTTTCAAAATGCGTAAGCTAGAATTATTTGTGATAATTCAGAGCATTTCAATTCCACTTGTTCCTCTAAAAACATTTTTGATTTTTATTCAAAAAAAAATAAGGAAAAATACATTGGATTTTTTTAGACAAGTAAGTGTCATGATTTCCCAATATGTAAACTAGATTTATCTGCAAAAATCTATAATGTTTCAATTCCAATCGTTCCTCTGAAAAAAATCGATTTTTAAAGAAAAAAACTAAGGAAAATTTCATAGAAAAAATTGGAAACAAGAGAGCATAATTCTTTTGAAATGTGTAAGGCAGAATTATCTGTGATAATTCAGAGCATTTCAATTCCACTTGTTCCTCTAAAAGAAATCTTGATATTTTTTCAAAAAATAAGGAAAAATACATTGGATTTTTGTAGACAAGTAAGTGTCATGATTTCCAAATATGTAAACTAGATGTATCTGCAAATATCTAAAATGTTTCAATTCCACTCGTTCCTCTAAGAATATTTAGAATTTTATCGAAAAAAGTAAGGAAAATTTTCATGGGAAATATTGGAAACTAGAAAGTATTATTCTTTCGAAATGTGTAAACTAAAATTATCTATCATAAAAGCATTTTAATTCCAATCGTTCATCTAAAAATTTCTGATTTTTTTTAAATAGAGAAACAAAATATTGTTTGTATCTCATCAAAGCCATTTGTATGTTGTTGTACATATGTATTTGTTCCATAGTGTATATCACCCATTAGCATTTGCATTTTAATTTTTTTTATTTTTTATATATAAAAATTAAATATATATATTTTTTAGTTTTACATTTTCATAATTTTTTTACATATAATCAAAGCATTCATTACATTAATCAGCATTGAAAATATATATATGATGATTATTATTGCCTATATAATTTTTATATGATAATGGAAAATATATAGATATACTATATATATATATATACTCCATATAAATATATACTACGTAAAAAAAAATTATGGGTTGTTTGGTAAAATATTTTAAAAAATATAAAAATATTCCCAATATCCAATTAATTTCCCCTTAATATGTCCATATTAAATATATCATTTCATGTGTATGTGTAAGAGAGTAATATACATATATATTTGTGTCTGTGATATATATTTTATTTATTTTTTATTTTGAAATCTAATTTTAAAATCAATATTTTCATATATAAATATTTAAGTGTAATACAATCTCTCTCTTGATAATGTAAACCCCACTCTCTCTCTCAGTCTCCCTCTCTGATATATTTTTATTATTATAATAAATTTGCTCTTTAAGTGTTATACTCTCGAAAAAAAAACAAACACATTCTCTTGCACTCTCTTTTGAGATCATTAAATATTATTATATTAATAAATATCTCATATATTAATTCTATGATGTGATATAAAATAAAATCTGTATAACAGTTAGTGTCGATATTCCAAATATCTCTCTTTGTCCATGTCATCATAAAAAAACAACACATTCTCTTGCACTCTCTTTTGAGATCATTAAAAATTATTATATTAATAAATATTTCATATATAAATCCTATGATGTGATATAAAATAAAATCTCTATAACAGTTAGTGTCGAAATCCCCATCTTCCAAATATCACTCTCTCTTTCTCTCTTTGTCACACTCTTTGTCCATGTCCTCATAACCAAATAATTTCTCAGATTATCTCTCTCACTCACTCTCTGTCTGTCTATCTGTTATATGTTGTCAATGGTATTTTATGTTTTCATGTTTAATATTATAATTTATTATTTGTTTTATACTCATACTGACTCACACATATACATACATACTCTCGCTCGCTCTCTCTCTCTCTCTAAACGTGTCCATCTAACAGCTGTACTCTTTTTTAAACATTTGATGTGCCATTAATTATCTAACACTCAGGAGTCCTAACATACCTGTATTTTTATACAGGACATACAAAATTAATGTTGATATAACTGTTATACATGGTGTAACTGGTATACATTGTGTAACTGTTATACACGGTGTAACTGTTATAAATTGTGTAACTGTTATACATTGTGGAACTTTTATACCAATTTCAAAAATAATGTTGTTATAACTGTTATACGTGGTGTAACTGTTATACATTATGTAACTGATATACCAATTTTAAAAATAATGTTGGTATAACTGTTATGCACTTTTATAGATTATGTAACTGTCATACATTGTGTAACTGTTATACCAATTTAACAATAATGTTGGTATAACTGTTATACTTGGTGTAACTGTTATAGATGTTGTAACTGTTATACATTATGTAACTGTTATACATTGTGTAACTGTTATACCAATTTAATTATCATTTCTCAGGAGTCCTCACATACCTGTATTTTTCTATAGGAAAATTCAAATTTAATATTGGTATAACTGTTATACATGGTATAACTGTTATACATGGTATAACTGTTATACATGGTATAACTGTTATACATGGTATAACAGTTGTACATTATGTAACTGTTATACATTGTATAACTGTTATACAACTTTAATTATAATTTCTTTTATAATTTTTTACATTTTTAATTTTTCACCTTAAAAATCCCCACCCACCACTTCCCCCTCTTACTTTACCTCTCCCCTACCAAGACCCTAACCTAACTTTGACTTAAAAAAAAATAAAAAAAATATATTTTTTAAACGAAAAAAAAAATAACCAAACTTTGACTTTCATAAAAAAATAATATAAAAAAAATAATTTTTCAAACGAAAAAAAATAATTATTTAATAAACAATTTTTGTATATAAGCAAAACCCTATTAAAAATTAAAAATTAAATATATTTATTCCTTTTGTTTTATAACAACTAACAAATTTGTTTGTAAATCATCATAATATTTTTTTCACCACTTCACCATTTTTCACCACCACCAACCAACCAATCATCACCAAACCACCACTACCATCAACCCTAAATGTGTGTGTGTGTGTCTCTCTCTAACTCTCTCTCTGTAAAAAATAAAAAAACTCAAATCTTGAATAAAAGCCTCTACTAACGAAAACTTCAATCAATCATAAAAAATCTCAACCTCCATCCACCCACCTGCAGTACACAATACGAAATGGGCGTGGCCGTTTTGGTATACCAGGTAGCGATCGCAAGCCATTGGTACTGCAAACATATCAGGATGCCCAGCAGCATTTGCCCTATGCCGATGATTCGAATGCCGTAACACCAATGTCCGAAGAGAATGGTGCCATTATAGTGCCAGCATACTATTGTAATTTAGGTAAGTCGGAGGCCTATGATGAAGCCTATAGAAAGGGGTTTTACAAAAAAAAAATGACCTTAAATTTCCGATTTTAAAATTATTATTATTTTTTTAAATTAAAAAAAAATCTTTCACATTTTTTTTTTGAATTTTGAGGTATTTTTTCGGAATTTGAATTATTTTTATTTTAAAAATTAATATATTTTTTTTTGTTTCCAGGTTCTAGACATTCTTCATATACCTCGCATCAATCAAGAATCTCGTATACATCACATGGTGATTTATTGGGTGGCATGGCGGCCATGGGTGCCAGCACAATGACCAAAGAGAGTAAATTGCGCAGTCGCAATACACGCAATCAATCAATCGGTGCTGCAACCAATGGTGGTAGTAGTACGGCTGGCGGCGGCGGTTATCCCGATGCCAATCACAAGGAACAAAGGGATTATGTATGTGAAAAAAATCAATTTTTTTGGTTTTTTAAAATTACTTTTTATAAAAGAAATTATTAAAAATGTTGAGAATTTGCCTAGAATCTTTTTCTGAGTCGATTTATGTATGTCAGTCCGTCTGCCCATCTGTTGATGTTAAATTGTAAACAAAGTACAGATCGCATTTATTATCCGATTTAGATGAAATTTGGCATAGGTCACTTATTTGGCCCAAGGACGAACCCTATTGAAATTGGGAAAAATCGGTTCAGATTTAGATATAGTTTCCATATATAATTTCGTCCGATTTAAGGTAAATGGTGCACCAAAGTCCCTATATATATTTCGATTTGCACGAAATTTGGCATAGCGTACTGAATTAGGAATAGAATGATGTGTGCTAAATTTCGTGCAAATCGGTTCAGATTTAGATATAGCTCCCATATATATTTTCGTCCGATATAAGGTAAATGGTGCACCAATGTCCCTAAATATCTTTCGATTTGCACGAAATTTGGTATAGAGTACTGAATTATGTCCAGAATGATTTGATCTAAATTTCGGGAAAATCGGTTAAGATTTAGATATAGCTCCTATATATATTTTCGTCCGATTTAATGTCCCTATATATCTTTCGATTTGCACAAAATTTGGCATAGGGTTCTGAATTGAGTCTATAATGATGTGTGCTAAGTTTCGTGCAAATCGGTTCAGATTTAGATATAGCTCCCATATATATTTTCGTCCGATTTAAGGTAAATGATGCACCAAAGTCCCTATATATCTTTCGATTTGCACGAAATTTGGCATAGCGTACTAAATTGAGTCTAGAATGATATGTGCTAAGTTTCGTGAAAATCGGTTAAGATTTAGATATAGCTCAAATATATATTTTGGTCCGATTTACGGTAAATGGTGCGCTAATGTCCCTAAATATTTTTCTATATGCACGAAATTTGGCATAGGGCTCTGAACTGAGTATATAATGATGTGTGCTAAGTTTCGTGAAAATCGGTTTAAATTTCCATATAGCTCCCAAATATATTTTCGTCCGATTTAAATGAATTTTTAAAATAATATTTTTTTAATAATTTTTTATTTTATAAAAATTTATATTTTTTGTTTATAAACAAATTATTTTAAAACAATTGGATTTTTTTATAGGAAATGGGTCAGGACTATACAGACGAAGCTGGCAAAATAAAACACCACGACAATCCTTTTATCGAGCCCGTCCAAACTCAAACAGTGGTAGACATGAAAGGTGAGTATGACTCAAATTATTTTCGGATCTTGAATCATGATTGATTTGGTTGCTTACAGATGTTATGGTCTTAAATGATATCATTGAACAAGCCGCTGGTCGGCATAGTCGTGCTAGTGAACGAGGTGGTAAGCATTGTTTGAATAGTTTGTTATTGTATGCTAAATGTGTTTTTGTTTTATAATAAAAAAATAAAATATTTTTTAAATTTTTATTTTGAAAAATTTTTTGTTACAAAATCCCCTGCTTTATTTGTTTGATTGAATGTGTATAATTTTTTTTAAACCCAAATCTCCATTCATAATTTAAAAAAAAATTCATTTTAAATATTTTTATTTTTTTAATTTTTTTTTTTTTTAATTTTCTTTCAAAATAAATGTCCCTACTTTATGTTGTAAATACAATAACAAAAAAAAACTAAATGTTAATTAATATCATTCAAAACTAAAAAAATAACTATCTATCGGAATTTGCCCTTATAAGAATTTCGAAAAACAAAAATTTTGTTTAGCCTAAAAATTGGTCTGTGTGTTGTAAATACTAATTTGCGTTGATTTTCTTCCTCCCCCCCTTTAATGAAAATGAATGTTCTAATTTTTTATTTTAAAAATAAAATTGCTAAAAAATATTGAATAATTTTTTTATGTTTGTATACCAAAAAATTCGTTGTTATGACATGAATATTTAAAAAAAATTAAACAAAAGCATTGGAATGTGTATATAAATTTTATTTGTTTTTCAAAACTTCATATTGCTTGTTCAAAAATAACCTTAAACAATTCTATCCCCCCAAAAAAAAATTGTTACTACAACAACAAAAAATTTGCATCAATTTTAATTTTCATTTCTATATAAATTTTATGCATTATGAATGAGTTTTGAAAAAAATATTTTATTTTTATCTTTTTGAAATTTTTTTATTTAGTTAAAGAAAATCACACTTTCAATAAAATGATTTGAAATTGTAAAAAAGAACAAGAAGAAAAATTTAGCATCTCCAATAACAAAAAATAACACTGTGTGAATTTTACAAAAAATCAAAAATTCAAAATTATGAAATTTTTTCCAAAAATGTTTGTTGGGTAATGGGTGAATAATTTGCAATGAAGATAGGTTTTATTACCTTCTATGAGTCTTATACAGTCTCCAGAACATTTTTTACTTCAAGACATCTTAAATTGGGTGCATGTCGTAAACGTCGCAAATGTCAAAAACCTGTATAAAACTTGTAAAACTGCAAAAAATCAATATTTTCAAAATGCAAATGCATTGATAGCTGCAAAAATCTAACAAAAAATAAGAAAACAATTAAAAAAAATTATAAAATTAATTTTTTTGAAAAATGTTTGCTGGGTTATGTGTAAGAATTAGCTATGAACACATTTAGAAGTTGCTTTAAGAACTTTACAGAAGCAATTTTTCGAAAAACCTACAAAAGTTTTTGAAAAAATTAAAATTGTGATTTTTTCCCCAAAATGTTTGCTGGGATATATGCAAAATATTTCAATAAAACCCTTCTGATTGTGCTATATAGCCACATATGAGCTGTTTATTGTTTCCAAATTTTGCCGTTATATGAAAAGTACAGGACATTATATATTTTTTAGATTTTTTCGACCGAAAGTGTCATATGTCGTAAATGTCACAAACATGTATAAAATGTCAAAAACTTCAAAATATTATTTGTATACATCTAAAATATCATTGTAGGCAAATTTCCGGAATATATATATATATATATATATTTGAGTTATTATTTTTAGAATTTTTGGACTAAAAAATTTCACTGTCGTAAATGTCAAAAACCTGTAAAATATGTAAAAATCCTCATAGCAATCATTTTATATTGATGAAATTGTGATGTAGGTATTTTTAAGGAATAGTACGAATATTGGAGACATTTTCTAGATTTTTGGGCCGAAAACTTTAATCGTAGTAAATGTCACAAGCTTGTAAAATATGTAAAAAACTCGAAAATTGTGAAAGTTTTCATTAAAAATGTATCTTAAGGAATTATGGATAAATTTCTGGAATTTTCGAACTAAAAATGTATGTCGTAAAAGTCGCAAACATGTATAATATGTATAAAACTTCAAGACATTAAGTCCATATGTTTAAAAATGTTATTGTAGGAATTTTTAGGGATATTTACGGCAATTAGGATAATTTTCTGGATTTTTTTGACCAAACAATTGAGAATGTCGTAAATGTCGAAAACCTGTAAAAAGTGTATAAACCTACAAAATTTTCAAATTATTATGTTAATATTTACACTAAGCGAATTTGAGTACTTTTTCTGCATTTTTGACTAAAAATTTGATATGTCGTAAATGTCAAAAAACCTGTATAATCCGTATAAAACTACAAAATATTAAACATATATGTTTGAAATCGTATCGTGGGAATATATAAGGATAACTGGGGTAATTAAGTCATATTTTTTAGATTTTTTGGGCCAAAAATTTGTGATGTCGTAAATGTCACAAACCTTTATGAAGTGTATAAAACATTAAAATCTTCCTAATTACAACGTTATATAAATTATATAGGAATTTGGGTAATTTTTTAGATATTTTGGACAAAGAATTTGATGTGTCGTAAATGTCACAAACTTGTATAATATGTATGAAACATCAAAATCTTCCTAATTACAACTTTATATTAATCGAGTTGGAATTTTGGCAATTTTTAAACAATTTTGGACCAAAAATTTGATATGTCGTAAATGTCACAAACTTGTAGAAAATGTCAAAAACTACCAAATTGTTATTTTATATTATTCAGAAAGGGATTGTAGGTATATGTTTGAATAATACAACAATTTTGGGTAATTTAAAATTTTTTGGGCCAAAAATTTGATATTTCGTAAGTGTCACAAAACTGTATAATATGTAGAAAATTGAAAAATTTACAAAATTTAATTTTTATTTAAAATTTATTGTATTGTAGGAATTTTTTTTACATTTTCGACCAAAAATTTATAATGTCGTAAATGTCAAAAACTTGTAAAAAATGTATTAAATAGCTAAATGTTGTAAAATATTGAAGTTATGTAATTTTAATCGTATTGGGGATTTTTTTTCGGGAATTTTTATTTATTTTATAAAAATTTGAGTAAAAAATTACGAAATTTATAGAAGTTAAATATGGCTTCGATTGATTTTTTTTTTATGAAAATTTTTGCCCCATTTTCACACAGTGTTATTTTTTGGTTTCTTGTAAATTTCGGCATGTTTTTGCCCCCTTTCCAAATAACTTTTTTAATTCCACAACTTGAAATGAAAAATCAAAACTAATTTTTAAATATTTTTGTTTTTATTTAATTTTCCACTTAAACTTTCTATTCTATTGTATATTCTTTTTTATATTTATAATTTATCTTTTTCCCTATTTAAAAACAACAACAAAAAAACTTAACAAAGCCTTTAATAACTATTTTTAACTTTATTTATTTCTTTCCTAATTACAAAAAAATATATATCCCTTTTTTATATTTAAAAAAAATGACTTCTTTGACTCGTCCATTTTTTGCCTTAAACGGTGATGCCTATCTTTAAAAAAAAAACTTATTTGGATGACAAATAATAACAAAATAAAAAAAGAAAACTAATTTTTGGTTTCTTTCTAAAACAAAAAAAAAAAAAAAAATAAAACCTTTAAACAATTGATAAAACTTTTTCCATAAAACAACAACAAAACACATCTACTCACATACTTACTATCTATCACGTAACTCCTAAAACTACCTTAAACTCAAAATCAATTTCAAAACTTTACAATAAAGTAGTTACTTTCAAAACCAATACAAAACAGCTCAGCAAAAAGTAAATCATTTAAAAGCTTTTTTTAACTGCACCAAACAAGCTTTTTAGCAGTTCAACAATTCTAAACAAAAATAATACAAAACCAGCAGCTAGTTCCAATATTTCATATTGAAGATCACCTAAAAAACACAACAACAACAGCAAAAAAGCTACTACTTTTACAGCTACAACAACAAAGTAACAGCCTCATAAACCACCCTCTTAAAGAACAAAAACACCCACCCTCTACTACTACTCAAACAAAACAAAAGCTGGCCAAAAGCTTTTTTATCATCTCCCAATTCACTACTCAGTAAAAGCCTTATCCAAAAGCTTCATAATATTTTTTTAAGTTTTTAATTTCTTACTTTTTTTTGTGAACTCATTGCCATACCAAAAAAATCGTACCAATTTCAATATTATTTTTTTATAATTTTTAGAAATTAAAAAAGTTTTAGTTCCGTTAATTTTTATTATAATTTAAAATTTTAAATTAAATTGCCTTAAAATCTCCTGTTTTTTTAATAAAACAAATTAATGTTAGTTTAAAAAAATTCCAGTAGTTTGTCTTAGTTGCATGAATATCTTTTTAAGTAGCCATTTTTTTACTAAAATTAAAATTGATTTTTTTTTAAATAAAATTTGTTCTTTAAAAAATGCCAGTTTTGCCTTGAAAGCATGCCTTTGTCCAGCCCTTTTCCCCAATTTTTTTAAATAAAGATTTTTAAAATAAAAATTTTAAAAACAAAAAAATAAAAGCTAATAAATGTAAATTTTTTTTTAAACACTTAATTGATTAACAGCTTGTAGAGCTTTTGTAAAGCTTTATAGAAATAAAATGAGTCTAATATGAATTTAAAAACTAGAAACCTTATTTTTAGAAGAGTAAATATTAGATGCCATATATTTTTTAGGTTAAAAATTGAAATAAATTTCCTCAGAGATTAGAAAAAGGTCTCAAATGTTTCAAAATTAATGCCACCTTTAAAAATTCAAATAGTGAACGCCCCACCCCTAAATTCAATTTCGGGAATTATTTTCTCATTAAAAGCGAATTCCCTGAACTCTCATGAGAGCTTTATTCTATCTTTTATCTCTTCTCTCTGAATGAAGTTTCGATCAAACCTGAAGTTCAGTAATTGAATCCTAAACTGAATTGAACACAGATATTAAACAGAGTCGAAAGAAAACCTTATATCTAAGACGTCCTAGAGGAGTAGCCTCTGTCCGATGCTGATATAAATTCTCTCTGTCTCTCTCTCTCTTTTCAGAGAGAAATCTCATAGTTCATATTCTTATCTCTTATTTTTCCCACAGTCAAACAATCTTTATCTCTGAAGGTCTAATCTTAGAATTTCATTTTGAAATTATTTGTTTTTAGCAATTTATCTGATGAAGATAATATCTGAGATAATTCCCTAGAATATTATATTCGAAATTCGCCACTTAGAATAGTTTATCTGAATTTATCTTGGGTACATAGTATTTGTATTTTATTGAGAATCTGTAGTTAATCGTTTGTCAATAATCTCATAGATAATTTTACGTGTTAGATAATTATATTTACAACTAGATAAATCCTTATTTAAATATTTGAGAGCAATTATCTGCAACCAAATAAATTTTTTTTATGAGATAATGAGCATTATCTATGAGATAATGAGCATTATCTATAAGATAATGAACATTATCTAAGATAATAAAAATTATCTATGAGATAATTAATATTATCTATGAGATAATGAACATTATCTATAAGATAATGGACACTATCTATGAGATAATGAACATTATCTATGAGATAATGCACATTATCTATGAGATAATGAATATTATCTATGAGATAATGAAGATTATCCATGAGATAACGAGCATAATCTAATAGATAATGAAGATTATTTATGAAAAATAATAAACATTATCTATGAGATAATGTATATTATTTGATACATAATTAATATTATCTATGAGATAATGAACTTTATCTATGCGATAATACATTATCAAATAGATAACGAACATTATCTATGCGATAATACATTATCTAATAGATAATATTCATTATCTAATAGATAATATACATTATCTGATAGATAATATAAATTATCTAATAGATAATATTCATTATCTAATAGATAATATTCATTATCTATTAACGAATATTATCTATGAGAACATTAGCTATGAGATAATGATCACTTATGGCCATTATCTTTGAGGTAATGATCATATATGACCATTATCTTTGAGATAATGGTCATGTATGGACATTATCTTTGCGATAATAATCACTTATGGCGTTTATTTTTTTAATATAATGATCGCTTATGGCCGTTATCTTTGAGATGATTATCACTTATGGTCATTATTTTTGAGGTAATGATAATTTATAGTCATTATTTCACAGATAATGAACATTATCTTGCAGATAATGACAATTTGCTGAAAAAATTGCCATTATCTGACAGGTAATGATCATTTTTTCACAGATAATGGCCATTATCTCACAGATAATGTCCATTATCTCGCAGGTAATGGCCATTATCTTACAGATAATTGCCATTATCTCAGAGATAATGTCCACAAAGTCCATTATCTGACAGATAACGACCATTACCTCACAGATAATGACAAAAATCTCTCAGATAACGACCATTATCTCACAGATAATGACCATCATTTCTCAAAAAATGATCATTATCTTACAGATAATGACCATTATCTTACAGATAATGACCATTATCTCAAAGATAATACATTTATATCACAGATATTGACCATTATCTGTCAGATAAAGACCATTTTCTCACAGATAAGGACCATTATCTCACAGATAATGAATATTTTCTCCCAGATAATGACCATTAGCTCACAGATAATGAATATTTTCTCCCAGATAATGAATATTATCTCTCAGATAAAGATTATTATCTCCTTGATAATGATTTGACCATTATCCCACAGATAATGACCATTATCTCTTAGATAAATGACCATTATATCTTAGATAACAACAATTATCTCTCAGATAATGATTATTATCACTCAGATAATTGTCAATATGTCCCAGATAATCCTCTCCTTGAATATTTAAACGATATTTGTAGAACAAAATAGTCGATTTTGAAACCGTGGATTTATTCATTGAGATTTATTCTTCGATATTGAAAATAGAGATTAAATGTTTACATCATATTTGAAAATGTTTTAGAATATTTCAGTAAAGTTTCTGGAAAAAAGTTTCCTCTTAAACATTCTATTTTTTTCTTTAGAAAACATTTCGTAGATAGTTAACTCTCTCGCTCTCTCTGTATGTCCCTTCATTTCAAAATCTGTGTTAGAAAAAAACTATTTAGCCTTAGAATTGTTTGGGTGTTGAGTCTTAGTTTTGATTCTTAGTTAGAAAAATTTGTTTGTAAAAATGTCATGGCCCTCTTGACCATAAAAAAAGTAAAAACAAATGATGTGAAATGTGTTTTGCGTTCGAGTGTGTTCCCCAGAGAGAAAGGGACATCCTCTCTCTCTTTTAAGTAAATAATTGTAATTTCCGTCAATGTGTTTTGCCTCTCTCGCTCGCCCTCTCTCTCTCTCTTGTGTTCTTGTTAAATTAGTAAAAAATCGTAACAGAGATTAATTTAATTGATGTTTGCATTTGAAATTAAAAACCGAATTTTAAATTAGAAATTTGAAAAATTTCCGAAAAATCTAAAATCCCAATACCAAAAACTGGCAGAGTCAAAGTATGTCAAAATCAACTAATGCCCAATTTGTACGATTCAGTCTCCGTTTACTATTTTCCCACAGAGGACGATGACGAAGATGGTCCCACATTTAAGGATATTGCCCTCGAATATATCCTGAAAGGCATCGAAATCTTTTGTGTCTGGGACTGTTGTTGGGTGTGGTTAAAATTTCAGGAATGGGTATCGTTTATTGTCTTCGATCCGTTTGTGGAGCTCTTCATTACCCTGTGTATTGTGGTCAATACAATGTTTATGGCGATGGATCATCACGATATGAATCCGGAATTGGAGAAGGTGTTGAAGAGTGGTAATTATGTAAGTATGGGAGAGGAAGGGAGGGGAGTATAAAGAAGTACATGAATAATAATAATATATCTTCCTTTAGTTCTTCACCGCCACCTTTGCCATTGAGGCCAGCATGAAACTAATGGCCATGAGCCCGAAATACTATTTCCAAGAGGGCTGGAACATTTTCGATTTCATAATTGTGGCCTTGTCATTGCTGGAATTGGGCCTGGAGGGTGTCCAGGGCCTGTCGGTGTTAAGAAGTTTTCGTTTGGTAAGTCAATTGTATATCTTGAGCACTTATTTGCCGTTTCCCCCTCTAACTGTTTCTTGTAGGACCCTCACGAAGTCAAGGTTTCGAAAAAATATATAATTTTTTTCTACAAAAAAATCAGAATTTTTTTTAAATTTTTTAATTTTGAATTTAATTAAAAATGACACAACTTCCAGCTACGTGTTTTCAAATTGGCCAAATCATGGCCCACACTGAATTTACTGATCTCGATTATGGGTCGCACAGTGGGCGCCCTGGGCAATCTGACTTTCGTCTTGTGTATTATTATCTTCATATTTGCCGTCATGGGCATGCAATTGTTTGGCAAAAATTACACAGGTATTAGAGGACAAGCTATGCCATACAAAAATTACAAAAACAAAATATTACAACAACAACTTATAGCCACCAATTTTTCCTTAAATGCCTAACTCTTTTTTGAATTTACAAAAAACAAAAAACACATTTTTTTAAATTCAATACACTTTTTTATAAAATATTTTTTCTTAACAAAAAATAACAAAGCTTTTTGGCACGTAACTTTTTTTTAAATAAAATATTTTTTTTTAATTAAAAAAAAAAAAATAAAATTTAAATTAAAAAAAGTTATAAATTTTTAAAAAAAATTATTTTTTTTTTAAAAAAAATTAAAATAAAAAAAAATAATTAAAAAAAAAAATTATTAAAAAAAATTATTTTTTTTAATTTAAAAAAAAATTATTAATTTTTTAATTTAAAAAAATTATTAATTTTTTATTTAAAAAAATTATTAATTTTTTAATTTAAAAAAATTATTAATTTTTTAATTTTTTAAAAAAAAATTATTAATTTTTTAATTTAAAAAAATTATTAATTTTTTAATTTAAACAAATTATTAATTTTTTAATTTAAACAAATTATTTTAAAAAATTATTAATTTTTAAAAAAAATTATTAATTTTTTAATTTAAAAAAATTATTAATTTTTTAATTTAAAAAAATTATTAATTTTTTAATTTAAAAAAATTATTAATTTTTTAATTTAAAAAAAAAAATTTTTTATTTTAAAAAAATTAATTTTTTTATTTAAAAAAAATTATTATTTTTTTAATTTAAAAAAATTATTAATTTTTTAATTTAAAAAAATTATTAATTTTTTAATTTAAAAAAATTATTTTTTTTAATTTAAAAAAAATTTTTTTTAATTAAAAAAAATTATTAAAAATTTTTTTTTTAATTAAAAAAATTCAAAAACCGAAACCCAATATCGTAATCAAATCCTAGCTGGAAAAAAACAAAGCTTCAATTTTGTTCACTCTCCAAACTTTGTTTAGTTATATGTATGGAAGCTATGACAATTCTGATTTTTATCTCAGACCATAATATCAGATCTCCAAACCTTAGATAAATCCCAAAACAAAAAAATCAAACCAAAATTCTTGTATTACAAAAATTAATCAAATCTAATTTTTTTCCTATATATTTTTTATGTACAATTTTTTTCCTACGCTTTGCCCGGCTTTTATATAACCAAAAACAAAAAATACAACAACAACAATGCAAATTCAATTTTTTTTTTACAAAACCAATCGAACACCCACACCATTACATACTTCCCCCTCAACCGAAACAAAAAAATAATCATTACCAAAAAAAAAAAAAAAAATCAACCCGATGAACAGCTTCGTGTATTCAAATTGGCAAAATCATGGCCCACCCTGAATTTACTCATATCGATTATGGGCCGGACAATGGGTGCATTGGGTAATCTAACATTTGTACTTTGCATTATCATCTTCATCTTTGCCGTAATGGGAATGCAACTGTTCGGAAAGAATTATATTGGTAAGTATGATCGAAAATGGATACAAAACAAAAAAACAAATTGCATCGTAAACTAGGGAGGGGTGAGAAATAAAAAAATATGGATCAGATTTTCAAAAGGCATGAAGTCTAGAATTTTAATTTGAGAAAGAAAATCTGATCCATTGTCATAACTTAGTATCTTTTTTGTTAATTTATGTGTTGTGTTAATTGTCTTAGTTTTATTTAAATTACAAAAAAAGATAAAAATTTATCTATGCTAATTTATAGTTTCATCTCATCTAAGTTTTCAAATCATCCACAAACTCAAAATCAAGAAAAACAAAAACAAGACACAAAAAACAGATCAGGAAACACTATAAAGGAATGCTACATTAGTAAGACCCAAATTCTAATCTTTAGATAATTTTTATCTCAGATAATTTATCTATAGAATTTTTTTATTAAACAATAAAGTTTTTTTTTAATTTTATAAATATTTCCCAAAAATTCAACATTAGATAATAGATAATATATAGTCTAACATAATATATTTTGCAACATTTTATTATTTATTCATAAATCAACTTTATTCTACATACTTTGATAAACTGCAGATAATTTATCTACAACAGATAATTTTTTTCAAAATTTAACATAATTTTTTTATTAAATGATTTTTTAATATTTTTTAATATTTGCTGGATATTTCAACCATAGATAATTGTTAGATAATTTTTATCTCAGATAATTTTTCTATAGATAAATATATTTTATAAATAATATACATAGAAGCCAACTTAATATTACACATATAAATCAGATAAATTTTAATTTATTACAAAATATAAATTTGTTAATAATTCTAATATCGAGGTTTTTATTAAATAATATAATTTTTTGAAATATTTTATAATATTTGCCAGATATTTCAACAGATAATTGTTAGATAATGTTTGTCTCAGATAAATTATCTATAGATAAAATATTTATTAATATTTGATTTTTTAGACATATAAATCAATAAAGTTTTTAATGTCAATTTTAATCCTTCAGATAAATTATAGATAATTTATCTATAGCAGATAATTTTTATTTCAATATTATCATGTTTTATTAAAAAATATATATATTTTTCAATATTTTTTATTTTTTTATCAGATAATCCTTAGATAATTTTAGATAAATTTTTACTCAGATAAATGTCGGTACAAAAGATATGTGTCAATATTCGATCAATTATTGCAATAAAATTTAATAAATTATGGGAAACTCTAATTATACAGCCTTTAGATAAATTCCAGATAATGTATTTTTTATCTACCACAAATAAATTATTTCACATTCCGATATTAATATTTTTATCTTTTTTATATTTTTATTCCTAGCTTTTCTAAACCTAGATAATTATCTATAGAAAATTTTTTATCTCAGATAATTTTTATAGATAAGATATTTTTCAATATTTGATCAATTATAGACATATATATTTTAAAAATTATTATCTGACATGTCAGATAATATATCTATGATCATTTAAGTTGTAGATAATTTATCTTTTTTCAGATAATTTAAAGTTTTAGTTAATTTTTATGATATAAATTATCTGATATTTGAGATAATTTATCTGAGTTTCTAGATAATTTATCAAAAGTTTTAAAATATAAAAATGACAAAATTTAAATGAAAAAATATTTTATCTGAAGTTGTAGATAAATTATCTGAAGGTGTAGATAATCTATACGAAGTTGTAGATAATTTATCTGAAGTTTATGAATTTTTTAATGAACTATCATAACCCCTAGATAGACTCAGAAGGTATAGATAATGGCAAATTGAGGTAAAAAAATTATCTGGATGATTTATCTAATTTTTTTTAGTTTTAGAATTTTTTAATAATTATCTCAAATTTCCAAATGGCTCAGAAATTATAAATTATAGGCATTTTATACAAAAAATGAGTAACTGATTCTTGAGATAATTTATCTGAAGTTGTAGATAACTTATCTAAGGTTGTAAAAAATAAATAAAAAAATTAGTCTCAGAAGGTATAGATAGTGACAAATTTATTTGACAAAAAAAATCAGAAAATAAAGATAATTTTTTATGGCAAATTTAAATGATAAAAATTTCAATAGGTTACTAAATTTGAGATAATTTATCTGACATTTGTAATCAAAAACAAATTTATCTAGAAAGTTTTAAAATTTTATTAAAAAAAAAAAATATCTGATACATGAGATAACTTATCTGAAAGATTTATCTAATTTTTTTTTTAGTTTAAGAAATTTTAAATAAATTATGGCGAATTATAAATTACTCTCAAACTATGAATATTTACACAATCGAAAAAAAATTGTATCTGTTACTTCATATAATTTACCTGAGATTGTAGATAACTTATATGACATTTAAGAAATTAAAAAAAAATAATTATCTAAAATAAATTACTGTGAAATTTGGAATTTATATGAAAATTTTGTATCTTATACTTGAGATAAATTATGTGAATGTTAATTCATTTTAGATAATTTATTCCTTTTACAAAATTATCAAAAAAAAAATTTACCAAATAAAAAAAATTGGAATACAAATTTCAAACACTTACTCACACAACATACATACACACACACCCTCTCTCCAAGCAAAACCTACACATAAATATTACAAATCTTAGAGAACCCCTAGTTTAGAAAAAGTTTTGACTAATGTAAGTAGACAAAAAAAATAAGTTCTGAAAAACACCCACACACAATCACACACCTAACCAAAAAATACTCCCCAAGAAAAAAACTTTTTTCGTAACACTTTTTTTCAAATAAAACCACATGAATTTTTTTCCAAAAAAAACTAACTCAAATCATCTCTTTTTTCCCAACTCGCTAGAAATTTTTTGCTAAAATAGTTTGTGGCTTAAAAAAACAAAAAAAAGCTAGCAAAGCTTTCAATTTTTTTCTAACTAAAAGCTTTTAATAAATTTTTTAAATATTTTATTAAAATTATTTTCTTTTTTAATTTCCCCAAATTAATGCCTGGAATTCTTTGTATGTATGTGTTTCTCTTTGTGTGCGTGTGTGTAGACCACAAGGATCGTTTCAAGGACCACGAATTACCCCGCTGGAATTTCACCGATTTCATGCACAGCTTTATGATTGTGTTCCGTGTGCTGTGCGGCGAATGGATCGAGTCCATGTGGGACTGTATGTATGTGGGCGATGTCAGCTGTATACCCTTCTTCTTGGCCACGGTGGTTATCGGCAATCTTGTGGTAAGTTGACAAATTCCCTGAGGGAATTTTTGGAACGCCCAAAATAAAAAATTCGGAAATTTTACTAATCTCTTTTCTTCCCTTTTATTTTGGAACATATCTCATTTCCCACACTCTCTCTCTTTCTATTTCTCTCTCCCAAAAAAAAATCTATTTATCGACATATTTTTGCAGGTTCTTAATCTTTTCTTAGCTTTGCTTTTGTCAAATTTCGGTTCATCTAGTTTATCAGCACCGACTGCCGACAATGATACCAATAAAATAGCAGAGGCCTTCAATCGTATTGCTCGTTTTAAGAACTGGGTGAAACGTAATATTGCCGATTGTTTTAAATTAATACGTAATAAATTGACAAATCAAATAAGTGACCAACCATCAGGTGAGAGGATCAACCAGATCAGTTGGATTTGGAGCGAAGGTTTTTATCCACTTGTTTTTTACTACTACAACTACAACTACCAATAAGTACTACTCGTTACTACTTGATTGCTTCATTACAACTACTCTCTAGAGAATCAAATATATCTATCTATCCCTTCGAGACTCAGTACCTTCAATAACTTAGTATTCCAAACCAAAAAATTAAACTCAAAATCGTACTTGCCAATATTTTTGTACTTTAGTGTTAAAACCCCTCCAGGGGGGTTGCCGTATTTTTTTAACTGCTGTTATGCCCCAAAAAGCATTTTAGCCTTAGAAAGTAACGAAAATTAATTTTCAATCAATACCAAGTTGAATGCCAACAACAACACTAAAGTAGTTCCGAATTAAAAAAAACAGTAGCAATAATTTGTTGTAATTTTTGTATACTTGATGATTTATTTGTTGTTCCTCTTTGACCTTCACATTTTTTAAAAAATTCCCAAATTTCAATATCAATTTCAAACGAAAACAAAACAGTACCAACCCTAAGCATTATGACCGATGGAAAAATATACAAACAAAACTTCGTATGTATGAAAGTACAACAACAAAAAACGCCAACAACAAACACCCACAGAACTTAGGTAAAACAATTCCTTTGTAGGCTACACAATTTCCAGGAACTTTTGTTTAACAGTGCCAATGGGATTAGGGACTGAAAAGGGGGAAAACAAAAGAAAGTATTTTTCAACAAAGGCAAAAATATATATCTATAATTTTTATAGATAAATTATCTATCATTTTTTGTAAATAAATTATCAATATTTTTCTCTAGATAAATAAATTAATAAATTTATAGATAAATTATCTATTATTTTTTTAGATAAATTTCTATAATTTTTTATAAACAAAGTATCTGTAATTTTTATAGATAAATTATCTATAATTTTTTATAGATAAATTATCTATAATTTTTATAGGTAAACTATCTGTAATGTTTTTGTAGATAAATTATCTATAATTTTTTATAGATAAATTATCTATAATTTTTTATAGATAAATTATCTATAATTTTTATAGATAAATAATCCATAATTTTTAAAAAGATAATTTATTATAATTGTTATAGAGAAATTATCTATAATTTTTATAGATAAATTATCTATAATTTTTTATACATAAATTATATACAATTTTTTATAAATTAACTATAATTTTTTATAGATAAATTATCTATAACTTTTTATAGATAAATTATCTATAATTTTTTATAGATAAATTATCTATAATTTTTTATAGATAAATTATCTATAATTTTTAATAGATAAATTATCTGTAATAGATAAATTATCTATAATTTTTTATAGATAAATTATCTATAATTTTTATAGATAAATTATCTGTAATTTTTTGTAGATAAATTTTTAATTTTTTATAGATAAATTATCTATAATTTTTATAGATAAATTATCTATATTTTAATAGATAAATTATCTATAATTTTTATAAATAAATTATCTATAAATAATTTGTCCATAATTTTTACAAATAAATTGTCTATAATTTTTTAGATAAATTATCTATAATTTATTATAGATAAATTATCTTTAATTTATTATAGATAAATTATCTTTAATTTTTATAGATAAATTATCTATTTTTATTTTTTATAGATAAATAAATTATCTATAATTATTTATAGATAAATTATGTATATTTTTTTATAATTTATTATAGACAAATTATCTATAATTTATTGTAGATAAATTATCTATAATTTTTATAGGTAAGTTATCTATAATTATTTAAAGATCAATTATCTATAATTTTTTATAGATAAATTATCTATAATTTTTTATAGATAAATTATCAATAATTTTTATAGATAAATTATCTATAATTTTTCTTAAAATAAATTATAGATAATTTTTCTAGAAAATTATAATAATAACTTATACACATAATTTATCAAAAGATAAATTATCTATAATTTTTCTAAAGATAAATTATTGAAATCTACATATAAATTATTTAATTTTCTACAGATAAATTATTTAATTTATCTAAAGATATATTTTTTAATTTATCTACAGATAAGTTTTTTTAATTTATCTACAGATAAGTTATTTAATTTGTCTACAGATAAATTATTAAATTTATCTCAGATAAATAATTTAATTGATCTACATATAAATTATTTAATTTATCTACAAATAAAATAATATTTTTCTACAGATAAATTATTAAATTTATTTTCAGATAAATTGCTAATTTATCTACAAATAAATTATTAAATTTATCTAAGATAAATAATCTAATTTATCTACAGATAATTTATATAATGTAAATAAATAAATTATGTAATTTATCTACAGATGAATTATGGAATTTATCTACAGATAAATTAAGTAATTTATCTAGACAAATTATGTAATTTATCTACAGATAAATTATATTTATTTATAGAAAAATTATCTAATTTATCTACAGATAAATTATATATATAGAAAAATTATCTAATTTATCTACAGATAAATTATTTAATTTATCTACAGACAAATTATTTTATTTATCTAAAGATAAATTATTTAATTTATCTACAGATAAATTATTTAATTTATCTACAGATAAATTATTTAAATTACAGATAAATTATTAATTTATCTACAGATAAATTATGTAATTTATCTACAGATAAATTACTTAATTTATTTAAAGAAAAATTATTTAATTTATCTACAGATAAATTACTTAATTTATTTATAGAAAAATTATATTTATCTACAGATAAATTATTTAATTTATCTACAGGACAAATTATTAAATTTATCTAAAAATAATTTATTTAATTTATCTACAGACAAAGATAAATAACTTAATTTATTTAATTTATTTAAGATATATTATTTAATTTATCTGCAGATAAATTATCTAGTTTATCTAAAGATAAATTATCTAATTTATCTAAAAACAATTTTTCTAATTTGTCTAAAGATAAATTATCTAATTTTTATAAAGATAAACTGTTTAATTTATCTAAAGATAAATTATCTAAATGTACCCCAACCCAAATGTTAAAGATAAAAATTATATAATTTTTCTAAAGGTAAATTATTTAATAATTTAAGATAGATAATTTATCCCCAAGAAAGGATATTTTATCTATAGATAATTTATCCATAGGCGTGGACTATTTAGCTGTAGATAATATATCCACAGACCTGGAATATTTATCCGTGGATAATGTATCTGTAGATAATTTATCTGCAGATAATTTATCGACAGTCGTGGATAATTTATCCACAGTCTTGGACAATTTACGCACAATTGTGGATAATTTATCTACAAATAATTTATCAACAAATGAGGATATTTCATCTGCAGATAATTTTTACCAAATTAATACCAAGCGTAGATAAGCTATCCACCATCGTTGATACCTTATACTTAGATAATTTATACAAAGGCGCGGATAAATTATCCGTAGATAATTTGTCCCCAAGTGTGTATAATTTATCTGCAGATTATTTTTCTCCGAGCCCTTATAATTTATCTAAAATCTTGGATAATTTTCTATATCCCATAAATGTGAATAATTTTTCTGTAGATAAATTTTCTACGCCTGTGGATTTTCTTCAGATAACTTATCCACGTAGAGGATAATTTTCTGTAGATAAATTATCTAACTTGTAGATAATTTTTAATACATATATGATCCATATTTATGGATGAAATTTCTATATAGAGAAATTATCCGCATTTGTGGATACATTTGCTATAAATACATTATCTACGTGTGGTTGATATTGCCTTTAGATAAATGGGAGACATTTTCTCTAGTTGTTTTCTAATTTAGACAATTTAACTATTTTTAAGGCTTGCTAATCTTCCAAAGTAAATTTATCTACTAAAAATCAAAATTTATCTTTAGATACTTTTATATGATTTGGGGTACCTTAAATATATCGGGATTTTTAGACTTCGTATTTTTTACATACATTCCCATTGGCATATTAAACAAAAGTTCACCGTACCCCTCAACCACCCAGAACAGAAAACCGAAAGACAAAAGAGTACCGAAAGATAAGAAAGAAAATCCCATTACAAAAACAACAAAAAAACACACATAGCTTAAATTACCAAAAACAACAAAACGAATTGTTTTGGTCATTGAAGTTATTCGATTTAAGGCATACCGCTATGGTCGTCAGACACCCAGATAATTTTGTATCTAATTCAATTCGGATGAAAAAAAAAACACAACAAAAAACAAAAACAAGATATGCTAGATGATCCAACCAATACACGCTTTATAGGAAATGGAAGAGCAGCAACAGAACGTAAAACGAAATGAAATGAATATCGAAAATGAATATTCGAAAAATGTAACTCAACTTCAAGAAATTGATCCCTGTGATTCTGCAAGCAGTTCGAAATTGATCAAAAAAACCAAGACATAACTACAACCACGAATAACCTAAAAAACCCCTTGTAATATTTTTTAGAAAACGAATTATTTAGGATCTTGTCCAAGTAGTTTAGTTTGAGCAAACCAAAAATTATTTGAAAAACAAATTCCAAAAACCAAGAAAATTCACATCGGCCATAATATTTGCAAACAAAAGTACTGTAAATATAAATCCAAAAACCATACACCAAAAAAATTGGCAAAAATTAGTGTAGAATAATTGTCAAAATCGGGTTTCTTAGAGAGAGGAAGCCCCAGCTTGGCTTAAAAGGTTCCAAAATTAATTAATTTTTTTTTTGGAATTCTTTTAATAGAGGTTTTTGAAAATCCATGCTCAGGCCTTCCTCTTGAACTAAAAATTTTATTTTTTTATAATTTTTATAAATTATTTCAATTGTTTATTGAAAACAATTTTTTTAGAAGTCCTCTAAATTAAATTAGAAAAAAATTAAAAACAGTTGGAAAAAATTACCTTAGAAAAAAAAAGTAAAACAGTGGATTTTACCCTTCTCATTTGTTTCAGATCATAAATATATATTTATTGTTTATTATTATATATATATATATATATATAAATATTTATTAGATATTTTTTGTGTTTGATGTTTGTGTTGTTTTTATTGTTGTTGTTAGAAAAACAAATTAAAAAAATAATTATGTTGAGTTCTGTTGAAATTCAATTGCAGAGGAAAAAACGGTTGTAGGGTGATTTTTGAAATCGGCAAAAAATATTTATATACATTTAAAAAAATCGAAATCGAAAAAAATCGTTTATTTATACAAAAATTCCCTATAACCGTTTTTCTCCTATATATAATTAATATATAGTTATTATTGTTGTTGTAATCACTTTTATTTGAAAAAAAAAAAATATTTTTTGTTTTTTAATCTAAGTCGTGTAGATAAAAAATATTGAAAGTAGTTTTGTTGTTGTTTAAATGTCCTCCATTGAGATAATTTTGAAAAAATTTAAAATGAATCCAAAAATATAAAAATTATTTTAGATTCCTTCCAAAAATCCTGAGGCTGTTTAGAGACAATATACCTTCCAAAAGGACCTATCAAGAGAGAAGTCTCTCTGTAGTACTTCTATAAAAAAAAAATAATGTCGAAAAAACAAAAGGCCATCCATACATTCATGGTATGAAAAGTACCTCCTCAGGCCTTATATCCTAAACCCCTTCCAAAGATCTAGAGGTCCTTCTATAGGCAGTAGACCATCCAAAAGATCATCTATAGAGAGAAGATTGTGTGTTAGAATTCTCTAGATAAATTAATTTCAATATGTCTACAATAAAACAAAAGACCACACCCACACATGGATTAAAAAAGTGGCTCCTCAGGCACCCCTTCAAAAGTTCTACAGATCGTTTTAGATAGAAGACGGTCATTGGGACTTCTGTAGATATAATATCTTCCATAGTTCCCAGAGCCATAGTTCCATAGTTCCAGAGCCAGAGACTAGAGAAGAACTCTAGTCTTCTATAGACAAAAGAACTACTTCTGTACATAAAACGCATTCCATAGATCTCAAAAAAAAAAAAAGAGGAAAATGCCTTATCCAGGGGTTAAATCGGTAATAACAGTACCTCCTCAGGCCTCCTATTAATGAAAATCCTTTCTGAGTGCTTATATAGATGGAAGACCTTTCTGAGAACATTTACAGAAGACTTACCTAAGGCCTTTTTTCAGAGTACCTTTCATCAGGTCGTCTACAGATAGAAAATCTTATAGAACTTCTTTATAGGTCTTTATATATAGAAAACACTCCTGGCCTTAAAATCGTCTAGAGTTAGAACATTTTCTGGAGTCCTCCAATATCTACCTATAGACCTACCTGAGAACGTCTAAGGGTAGAAAACTTTTCTGAGCCTCTTTATTGATAGAAGTTCCTCCTCAAATATAATGCCTTATAGAGGCCAATCACAGGTCCTTCCAGATATCTTCTAGAGACAAAAGAGCCACCTCAGGCCTTTTACAGATGGAAGTCCTTTCAAAGGTCTTCCACAGATAAAAATATTTTCTTAGATCTTTAAAATATTTAAGACCATCTTCAAAACTTCTAAATACCTTCCTAAGAACTTCTACAGCTAAAGACTTTTCTGAATCTCTTAACCGGTAGAAGTTCTTCCTCAAGTCGTCGACAAATGCAGGTCCTTCTAGATGACTTGTATATACAAAATATCTACCTCAGGTCCTCCGCTGGACTTTTATAAATATAATTTATAACATTTCTGAGGACTTCTGTAGATGAACGACCTTCATACAGCTTTCTGTAGGTAGAAGATTTTTCTAAGCTTCTATACTTATAACAGGCTTTCCTCAGGTCATCTAGAGGGATAGAGGGTCTTCTTTAGTCAAAAGATCAACTTTAGGTCTTTTAGAAGACCTTCCATATGCTTTCTACAGATAGAAAAAATATAATACAGTTGGAAGACCTATCTGTGACCTTCTGTAGATAAAACTTTTCTGAGGATCTTTACTTAAAGGGGAACTTCCTCAGACATCTACAAAAGAGGGTCTTATAAATATCATTTAAAGGACCTTCTTGAGGTCTTGTTTAATTTAAAGAGCTACCTGAGCCTTTTCACTTATAGAAGGATTTTCCAATGTCGTATATAGATAGAGGATCTTGTTAAGGTCCTCTAAGGGACATTTTTGAAGTCTTCCATAAAAAAGAGCTATCTCAGGTTCTCTGAAGGCCTTTTAGATGTCTTCTACAGATGGCCACCACAGGTCTTCTATAGAGAGAATACCTTCCATTTGTCTCCTTCGAACGATAGAAAACCATTCACTGGGCCTCTATAAATATAAGACCTTCCTTAGGTGTTCTGTTGGTCTTTTATGATACAAGAACTTCCGAAAGACCTCAGAAAGGCCTATAGAAGACCTTCCACAGATTTTGTATGGGCTTTTCTGAAATCTTCTATTAGAGAAAGATTTCCCACCATCGTTTTGGAATCCACAGACCTTCGTGAATTAAATATAATGAACAGGGTTTTCTATTGGCAGCAAGCCTCCCATTTTAGTTTCCACAGTCTTTATAAGATATATATAGCCTATAACAGACTTACCACATATTTTCTATGATTTTCCAGAGAAGTTTCCACAGACCTTAATAAGGTTTTATGTTGACAGGAGATCTTTAAGAATTTTGTTTTAAATGTGGAGATCTTCCAGACCTCAGAAAAGCCTATAAAAGACCTATCACAGAGTTTCTATACATATTTCTGAGGACTTCTATAAGAGCAAGATAAAAACGCCCACAGGCCTTCGTCGAATTAAAGACCCTTAACAGGCCTTCCAGATAAGTTTTCATCGGCCTTTATAATTATAGATCTTATAGGCCATTTCAATTTATAGAATGTCTTCTCATTTTTTGATGAAACCGGCAAACGTCCTCAGACCTCTGAGGATGCTTCTGAATGCCTTCTAAGGCCTTATACATTTGGAAGACCTCCCACAAATATTCTATATGTTTTTTCTGACGTCTCCTATAGGAGAACGATCTTCCGCAAACGTTTTGAAACCTTTCCCAGGCCTTTTACGGACTCAAGACCCTCCGCAGATCTCTATAGACTGTCATAGAAGATCATAACTCTCCACAGTTGATAAGTAAACTTTCAAAAGGTATTTCATTGATAGAAAATGTTTTCAGATCTTCCTTCTATGGAAGACCTTCCGCTGGTCTTCCATAGCCATAAGATCTTCAATAGCTCCCACCAGACAAGATCTCTTGAAGGTCTTCCATACAACTTCTATAATAGAGATTTTTTGCCAACTACCTTTTCTTCAAAAATATCTTTAATTATTAACTCACCTCCCTCTCTTCTCCCCTTACCACCCCCTCTTTCGATGGAGGACATTTAATATATAGCCGTATTATTGTTATTGTAAAATGATATCTGGTTTGTTGTTTTAGTTGTTTGTGTTCATTTCGTTGTTGTGAGTTATTTGTTTAAACAAATCATCTCATATAGAATCACACTCATATATTTAATCACACACACATACATATATAATTATTTACTCACACACACCCACAACCTCATAGACATTAGTTGTGTATTATTTGTGAATATTTCGATTTCATGCCATTAACACAGTCACACTCATTTGCATAAGAAAAATAATAGCTTTGTTCCTTATACATAGAAAAACAAAAAATTAAAATTTTGAAAAAAATATTTAAAAATTTAATGTTTTCCCAAAAAAAACTATTAATTTCGAAAGGGAAAATTCAAATTATTGATTTTTTTACTTAAGGGAACAAGGCTATTATTTTTATGTTTTTTCATAAACCACCACATTAACAAAAAGCTCGATGTTGTGTCCGTTGTAAAAAAAAAATATGAAAAAAATTAATCTGTGTCCAAAAATTATTTAATTTTTTTTTTTTTAAATGTGAAGTACAAAATTTTTTAAATAAAAAAATTTCAATATTTTATTTTCAAATTCCATTTTTAAAAAAAAATTCAAATTCGCCTGAAAAAAAACGCTCCAAATTATTTAAAAAAATACAACAACACGACAACATCAAAAAAATGCGTATCCACCTCGTTTTACATCATCTCCTCCTTCATGTCATTGTCATCTGGATTTCTTTTGCAAACAAAAATCAAAAATGAAAAAAAAAAATGGATTGGCTTTTTCCCCCCATTTACCCCTCAAACATTCATTCAAAATTCCATAATGTTTGTTTTGAAATGAAAAAATCAAAAAAATCAAAAAAAAATACGAAACAAAAAAATGGATACGTTAGGCAAAGGGGTTTGTCGTTGTATATCTGCAGAACATGGCGATAATGAACTGGAGTTGGGTCATGACGAGATCATGGGCGATGGCCTGATCAAAAAGGGTATGAAGGGCGAAACGCAGCTGGAGGTGGCCATTGGCGATGGCATGGAATTTACGATACATGGCGATATGAAAAACAACAAGCCCAAGAAATCAAAATTCATAAATAACACAACGGTAAGTGGAGGGGTAGGGGGAAAAGGGGAAGGCAAAGGGGGGGTTGGAAGAGAAATTTAAAAAATTTAAAATTTTTGTGATTTTTCTCATTTTTTTTTTTTTTTAATTTTTTGAAAAAAAAATTATTTTTCCTCTCTAGATGATTGGAAACTCAATAAACCACCAAGACAATAGACTGGAACATGAGCTAAACCATAGAGGTTTGTCCATACAGGACGATGACACTGCCAGCATTAACTCATATGGTAGCCATAAGAATCGACCATTCAAGGACGAAAGCCACAAGGGCAGCGCCGAAACAATCGAGGGCGAGGAGAAACGCGATGTCAGCAAAGAAGACCTGGGCCTCGACGAAGAGCTGGATGAGGAGGGCGAGGGCGATGAGGGCCAGCTGGATGGTGATATTATCATTCATGCCCAAAACGATGATGAGATAATCGACGATTATCCGGCCGATTGTTTCCCCGATTCGTACTATAAGAAGTTTCCGATATTGGCCGGCGATGAAGATTCGCCGTTCTGGCAAGGATGGGGCAATTTACGACTGAAAACTTTTCAATTAATTGAAAATAAATATTTTGAAACAGCCGTTATCACTATGATTTTAATGAGTAGCTTAGCTTTGGTAAGTTTTTCCCAGTAAGAACAGCTGGTTAATGGCCGCCAAACGTTTGTTCGATCATTCGCCAGCAGGCTTCTTACCCAAAAATTTCTTGTTCACTAAATGTTGTTGTTTCTTTTTAAAAAAAGAAAACATGCTTTGTATATAAATGTTATTTTTATGACAAAGTAGTTGTTGTTGTAAAAAAGAAAAACAAAAAACGAGCGAAAAACCCAGTAAAAACTCTACCAAAGTTGTATAGACCTTTTTGAAATTTTAGCTTAAATTTTAGAATTAAAAAAAAAAACAAAAATTTTTAGTTGTTGGCTTAACCTAACCTCAAAATGCAAAAAAAAAACAAAAACACCTGCATTCCTTTTTATTTGCTGGTGATTTCCGCTTATAGAAATCAAACAAACAAAAAAGAATGCTGCTTTTTTGAAAAAAAAAAAACCGACACCGCCACAGCTAATATGGGGGGTTCGGACGGGCTTACAAGGTCGCCTTTAAAGAAAAACATCAAAAAAATTTTTTTCAAAACCAGGACATTGGAAGTTGCTGTCAAAAACAAAAAAAAAAAAAAAAAAAAATTGTGACTGCAGTTCCCCAATCATCCCCCGATGTTTTTTCGACCTTGTATGCCGATTTGAAACCCTGCAAACCTCAGCGCCATTTTTTTGCTTCAATTCCTCCCCCAAAAGGCCTTAAGCAAAAAAAAAAAACAGAACAGCGCTTTCTACGTCAAATCCCCAAAAATCGCTTCAATAATTTTGTCTTCAATTTCTTTGAAAATTTTTCTTTAAAAAATGTAACACCATAGCGTACCGAAAACAAGTTGCCTCTTTTATCCTTAAATGTTGTTGTTATTAACTCTAGTTGTTGTAAATTTTTGTGTTTAGCTTTTAACAACACCTTGAATAGCCCAACAGCAAGCTTTACTAAACTTTTTTATATTTTTCGAAATATTTTTTTCGATTTTACCCCCCTCTAGGCCTTAGAAGATGTTCATTTACCCGATCGACCTGTCATGCAGGATATCTTGTATTATATGGATCGTATATTTACGGTGATCTTCTTTTTGGAAATGTTAATCAAATGGTTGGCCCTGGGCTTTAAGGTTTACTTTACCAACGCGTGGTGTTGGCTGGATTTCGTCATTGTCATGGTAAGTTCAGACGTTTGCCAATTTCGTTAACGAAAATTTTGATTTTTATTTTTATTGAAAAAAAATTACACATAATCACACGAAAATTATTGAAAAGAATACAACAAAAACTGACTAAGAAAAAAAATACAACACCAATAAAAAATCCAAAAAGTACTCAAAACAGGGCGGGACGAAAAAGAATTATTATAGGGGACTGTATACAAAAAAAAAACTGAATAAAAATTAAATTATTAAGGACGGTCCATAATAAAACATAATTGAAAAAAAAATAATTATAAAAAAACTGCCTTAGAAGAAGCCTGCATTAAAAAAAATATAATAGCAAAAGAATTTTAAAAAAATCGTAAAAATAATTTTTAATTTAATATTTAAAAAAAATCTCCATAATTTTAATTTTCGTCGGCCTTGTGCGCATCTCCTCCAATTTGAAAGACCGCAGATGTTGTCTTCTACTTGGTCTTTCCATCTAATTCGTGGCCTTTCCCTTTTGCGGGAACCATCAGTAGGCTCGCTTTTATATTCCTTTTGAGCATGGTATAGCCATCGTAGTCGCTGCAGCTCAATACGACTGACTATGTCGATGTCCGCGTATAAATTGTAAAGTTCGTGGTTCATTCGACGCCAATATTCACCGTTGACGTCGACAGACCAGCCCGTAGATCTTACGGAGAAATTTTCTTTCAAACACCCCATGAGCTGAATCGTCTGCTTGCGCAAGTCTTGTGCGCATCTCCTCCAATTTGAAAAACCACATTCCAAGAGGTTGTCTTCTACTTGGTCTTTCCATCTAATTCGTGACCTTTTCCTTCTGCGGGAACCATTTCATTCATTCGCACAACATGGCCTAGCCACAGTAGTCGCTGCAGCTCAATACGACTGACTATGTCGATGTCCGCCTATAAATTATAAAGCTCGTGGTTCATTCGATGCCGATATTCTCCGTCGACGCAGACCCATAGATCTTTCGGAGAATTTTTCTTTCAAACACCCAAAGAGCTGACTCGTCTGCCTCCGCAAGTACCCATGCTTCGCATCCACATAACAGCACGGGTAGTATCAACGTCTTGTAAAGTGTGAGTTTGATCTGGCGGGAGGTGGCCTTGTTTTTAAACTGCTTACTTAGCCCATAGTTGTTGTTGTAGCAGCTAGTACTGTGTATTTCCTATTTTCTTTAATCTGGTGTTAGGTGAGTGGGTTTGACTGATCAGTTGAACAGATGTAGCGTGTCATGTAGTCCGTTACCACATGCCGGGCAGATATTGTCGACCTCTCCATCAATTCGTGCCCAATACGAATTGAAGCGGCTACACCATCCAGATCTCAGTTGTGCCAAGACGACTCTAATTTGTCGATGTAGCTGCTGCTCTTCTGCAGCTATCAAAGGCGTATGGTCTCCGAGGATGGTATTCACGCGATATTCTTGAACTGCTTCCTCAACTGCGTCCGTCTGAATACTGTTCAATCCTGCTTGATAGGCCTGTTGATCTAGAGGCTCCCTTTTGTACCTCTGGACCACTCTCTTTCCAGATCATGTAGATCCTTCTTGACATGCCTGGGTGGTGGGTGCCAATCCATTAGGTAGCGGTTTGGATGGCTGCTCCTATAACACCCAAGCAGGTATTGCATCGACAACATCTTGTTGTGTTGACGCACAGGAAGGATCTTCGTCTCCTCATGCAAGTGGTCTATTGGAGTCATGAGAAGACACCATGTTGCAGTACTTAGGGCGGCATTCTGGCAGGATTGAAGGTTTTTCCACTGCGTTGCACTGACGTTAGCGGACCACACTTTTTTTGTAATAAACATTGTGCAACACAACATTGCGGTAACAGCCACCTACTTTTTTCAACTTAGCCCATAGTAGCATCTGTTGGCCATCACTATCCCTCTCCGAATTTCAAAACTGAGGTAATTCGTTTTACTTATGGCCAAGTACCATGGTATATAAAATCTTTAACTACCTCGAAGCTGTAGTTCTCAAGTTCCACAGTTGGTCCGGGTCTACTGAACGCGTCTTGCGCGTTGATACCATCAGCTTGGTCTTCTCGCCGTTTACTGCCAGACCCACTTTGGCAGACTCCTTCTCAATTTGTGGCTCAAAGGTGGCTGTGACCGCTTGCAATGTTCGCCCCATAATATCGATGTCATCGGCGTAGGCGAAGAACATGTGTTGCACAATTTTTGAAAAATCTAATAGTTTGAAAATCTAATTTTGTTAATAATAAATTATCCCTAATACATATATCACCAAAATCTGGAAACTCTAATTTCACCAATGAGAGAATGTGGACTTTGTATCTATATTCGAAATAAAATATTCTCAAAAAATACACAGTTGGTCCGAGTCTACTGGACTTCTTGCGCGTTGATACCATTAGCTTGGTCTTCTCGCCATTTACTGCCAGACCCACTTTGTCAGACTCCTTCCCAATTTGTGGCTCAAATGTGGCTGTTACCGCTTGCAATGTTCGCCCCCATAATATCGATGTCATCGGCGTAGGCGAGTAACTGGTGTTGCACAAATTTTATTACCAAAAGTTTGAAAATCAAATTTTGTTAATAATAAATTATCCCTAATACATATATCACCAAAATCTGAAAACTCTAATTTCACCAATGAGAGAATGTGGGCTTTGTATCTCTATATTCGAAATAAAATATTCTCAAAAAAGACTCCGAATTTTGAAAATATCTTTACAGTACGTAATGCCACTCTGCATACACACCGGAGTGCAATTTCTGTTCACCTTTGCCTCTCGTATGATCTTTTCCAGCAGGATGTTAAAAAGATCACACGACAAACTGTCATCGTGTCTGAATCCTCGTTCGGTATTGAAGTATTCCGATAGATCCTTTCCGACGTTAACTGCTGATCTTGTGCCACTTAAAGTTATACTGCATAGGCGAATTAATTTTGCAGGAATGCCGAACGTAGAACGTAGGCTTTAAACACCTCTGAACGGATAGGGCTGTCGAATGCGGTTTTATAGTCGACGAATAGGTGGTATGTGTCGATGTGTTTTTCGTGGGTCTTTTCCAAGATTTGCAGGAATGCCGAACGTAGACATGACTTTAAACACCTATGAACGAATAGGGCTGTCGAATGTGGCTTTATAGTCGACGAATAGTTGGTATGTGTCGATGTGTTTTTCTTGGGTCTTTTCCAAGATTTGGCGCAAAGGATTGGGCATGCATTCGTCTAGCGAAATTGTACTAATCTGCTGGTTGCATGTTCCTGACCAGCAGTCTTGAATAGTTCGGCTGCTGCTTTATTGTTCTTCAGTCGATTATTTGCTACTCTGACCTCATCTTGGCTAGGTGTGGTATGCACTCTCACCGTCATCTCTTATTGGTTCTGAGGTATCTTCTTCACCGCCACTATTTGATACCAGAAGCTTTTCAAAATGCTCCTTCCAGATCCTTAACACTCCGTCTGTATCTGTCACCAGGTTTCCTTCTTCATCTCTACAGGAGGATGTGCCTGCACCAAAACCTTCGGTTTGTTGATACCAGAAGCTTTTCAAAATGCTCCTTCCACATCCTTAACACGCTGTCTGTATCTGTCACCAGGTTTCTTTCTTCATCTCTACAGGAGGATGTGACTGCACCAAAACGTTTGGTTTGGAGTTTTACTTAGTTGGTAAAATTTCCGGACTTCATTCTGACTCCTGTACATCTCGATTTGCTCACGCTCACGTTTTTCTTGTTCTTTCTTCATTTTTTCTGAAAATACGTTTCTCCTCTCTCCTTTTCGCCCGATAATTCTCTATCACACTATGTGTTGCTACTGTCTGCAGGGTTGCCCTATACGCTGCGTTTTTCACATCGCTAGCGTTACGACACTACTGATCGTAACATGGGCTTATTGGTACACAAGTGTTGCTTTTGCTGCAGTTTGTGGGGAATTCTTTGCCATTGTGCTTCTGTACTATTATCGGGACAAGAAGTGCTTTCATCAAGCAGGTGGGTAAGTTGAGCGGAGTATGCCTCGGTCACCGTTGTGTTTCCAGCTTTTCCACGTCGAGTTTCCGTGTTGTGTTAGATCGCACCGCATTTGCTGTAACATATTATTATCGGGATAAGAAATGCTTTCATCAAGCATGCCTTTTTCTTATTTAAAATTATGGAGGCTTCTCTAAGAAAAATACAGAAATTTGTTAAAAAATTATCAAGAACTTCTAAAAATATTAACGGGCCGTCCAAGACAAATACCGGACTTAATAAAATATATTTAAATTTTTTTCTATTATGAGGGACCGACTTTAAAACCTATAGGATGCATTTTTTATGTAATGAAGGACTGTTGAAAAAAATTATTTCCAGCATAATTTTTGATTTTAAAAATTATGGAAAACTCTTTTTGTAAAAAATAATCACATATTTTGTATTATAAAACAAAAACTAAATAAGTTATAAAAAAAAAAATATTTGTTTTTAGTACGACAATTTTCAGTTCAACTTAGTTAAAATTTTAGTTAGACCCTTTAATGATCATTTTTATTTAATTTTTTAATTAAAAAATAAATAATAAAAAAAATATATTTTATTTAATTAAAACAATAATTTCAGTTAAACTTAGTTCGATTTTTAGTTCGATCCCTTTGAATTTTTTTTAATTTACATTCAATTTAATTTTCAAATAGCGCCCCCACAAAAACTAAACATTACAAAAATCCCCCCTTTTTAGATAAGTTACTAGTTAATATATATTTAGGCTATATATTTAGTATTAAATAAAAAATCTAGCCAATAGTTTATTATATAGTTACCAAAAAAATATTTAAAAGAAACACACAAATAATAATTAATCTAATCCACACTCCTTAAAAAACCCCTACAAACCTTACCCCGCATCATCAACACACACACATGTAGCTATCGCTTATAAATTTGGTTGCCGTTTGGTCGGGCCTAAACGATATAGCCGTATTTCGTTCAATGCGCACATTGCGTGCCCTAAGACCGCTGCGCGCTGTCTCTAGATGGGAGGGTATGAAAGTAAGTAAATACTCAATGTCAAAAATGTCTCTCTCTCTCTCTCAAAACGACAATAAAAAAAATCTATTTGGATTTGAAACACACACACAAAAAGGTGTTCACAAATCATGCCGAAACTCAACTAATCTTCTTAACTAATCTCCCATAAAAAATCTCCCCCTAAATGTTGTGTTGCCACCTATTAACAAAAAACAAAAAAAAATTAAATAATGTGTTGGTGTTATTGTTAATAACTACTGTAACTACTACTACTATACTTACCACTACTACTACTCTAACTCAATATTTGTGTACATGAACTAACTTCACCTAACGGAAGATCGAAGGACCAATTGACAGAAAAGAGAGATAAAATGATAAACGTTTCTTAAATTAAAAAATCGTCAGATGTGATCAGCCCTAATATTGAGGCAGAATTGCCAATTTTTTTAATGTCAATGAGCGGCAGCGAATTGCCAATTTTTATAGTGACAAAATATAAAAATAAATCTTACAGAAACCTTGAAAGGATAACATATTTTCTCTAAAGAGAAAACTCTATTCCGGCAAGATTAAATCATCATTTGAATAAAGACTTCATAGAATTGAGAAATTTTTCAAATAAAAAAAATAGAATTTCCAATCATTATGATATAGTATTGCCAACCAAAAATATTTATATAGAAATTTTAATATTCATTTCGGGAATGTTCTACTACATCATTAGAAAATTTCTATTCAGCCAAGATTATCTATTTAAATTGCTCGCAATTCAGAACAGATTTGTGAATACCGTGGAATTGCCAACCTTTCCGAAACAGAATTCAAATAAAATTGCCAATTATGATGCAATAATAAGGCGATGTATTAAAACAAAAGACATTGTTTTTGTCTCGAATATCTGTCAAATTTTTCCTTATAATATTGCACATGGTTGGCAACACTGCACATCGAATTCAAGTAGAAATTACCCACTTTGACAATTAATCAAGACATCAGCTGCGCTAAATGGACTAAGTATTCATTGTGTCATGTTGCCAATCTTTCAGAGAAAAACATTGCCAACCTTGCAAAACCTTTATCAATAGAATTATTATTATAGAAATTTGGAGATTACTTTTTTAATTAAAGTATTTAAAGTAAGTTCCATTTTATCTCTCTAGAGACACTGCGATCTTGACTTTTACATTAAAAACAAAAACTTCTACACCACGATCACCAACGAACTTTTTGTCACAGAAAAACCTCGAACTAACTTCTACTAATAATCTTGTGTAATATTTTTTTTTTTTTCAAAACTTACTTGTACGGCTCCTATAAAATAATTCTAAAAAAATAACTATTTCAGTGTTAATTGTTTAAACGTATATAATGAGATATTTCTTCGTTGTAATTCTCTCTGATTCTCTCTCTCACTAATGTGTATACAGAAAGCTAAGAGCTGTATTAAAAAAAATATAATTCTCTCTTACTACTATCTTACTCTCTCTATCTCTCGTTGTAATTAAATGTAAAATCCCAAAATTGTAATATTAAAATAAAAAAAAAAAACATTTCTACGTGTTAATATGTAACTATGAATATTATATATATATATATATAATATTTATATATACATAATATATTGTGTGTAATTATATGTAACACATAATACATATGTCTATGTGGTGTTGCTAACGTTTTTCATTTATTTTTAAGTTTTTAGTTTAAATTTTTTTTTTTTAATTAGAAAAAAATATTTTAAAATATATTAGGGATTTTTAAAGGGCAAGATGTATTTAAAACAGCTTTTATTTAAAGAATTGAGTATTCTTTTCCAACATAAATTAAAAAAAAATATTTAATTGTTCTTGTTAGCGTTTTTAACATAGCCAATGACGAAAAAGTCTATATAATTTTTGTAAAATTTTTCGAAGCTACTTTCTCGATACCTTTTTGTGACCAAAAAAAAATCGATATAATTTTTTGTAGAATTTTCCGAAGCTACATTCTTTTCATTTTTCCAAGCTACATGTTCGATACATAGTTGTGGTATCGATATAATTTTCTGTAGAATTTTTCGAAGCTACATTCTTTTCATTTTCATTTTTCGAAGCCTACCTAGTTATGGCCAAAGAATTCGATATATTTTCTGTAACATTTTTACACTTTATTGTCTGTTTTATTAAAAAAATTAAAGTTGTTGTAAAAAAAGTAAAACAAAAAAAATCTAAAAAAAGTATTCTAAGTGAACATTTTTTTTTTAAAATATTTTTTTAGAATTTTTTCTTCTTTTATTTTGCTAATTTTCAATTATTTAAATATTTAAAATGTATAGGCGTTTTTTTTTTCTAAATTTACACATTGACAACATTCCCGAAAGTACTGAAACCTTAACGCAACACTCAACTTCACCATAACATCACTACTTTGGTATATGTCATGGATATAAGAACGTTAACCTATCACTCAACTTCACCATAACATCGCCACTGTGGTATATGTCAAAGATGTAATGAGTTAGTTCGAAAAACTGTAGCATACTTTCAGGCGTCAATTGAGACTCCACTATGATATCAATGAATGGGTGTAACCACGGCCATAGACGCCATCTCTTTGTGGAAGTAGTTAAATAAATGTGAATCAACGCCAAATTGTGAATCAGTGTGGTGAGTTTGGCGTTTAAAAAATCGCCAGAAATTATTTCTAAGTCTCGTTTTGTTATCAAAAATCTAACAGATGTGGTCAATCGTAATTTTTTATAGAGCAACAGTTTTGTGAACAGTGTGACCAATGTAGCGTTTACAATAGCGTTTTTCTCTTTTGAATCAGTTTTTTTAAATTAATTGTCAAAATTAAATTACAAGGAATCTGTGTAGACAATGTTGCGTTTTAATAATCGTCAGTAAATATTTTTATTAAAAATAATTAATATATGTGGCCAAATGGAGATTTATTTAACTAATGAATAAGTCAGTGTGTTCAATTTGGCGTTTTTTAAATCGCCAGATATTATTTTAATTTGCAATTTAGTAATAAAAAAATTATTCTATTCTTTATTAGTTCAGCTCAGCAGTCTTGCTAACAGCATTTATAAAAGTATATCAAAAATCAGTGGGGTTAATGTGGCGTTTAAAAATCACTAACTATTATTTTTAAATGTCTCCATTTTGTATAAAAAAAATTCTTGTTCAGTTTGGCAGTATAGCAAGCAGGATTGTCAATATAGCGATTGTCTCCGTTCTGTATTTAGAATTAAATATTCAGCAGTATTGCAAGCAGTGTTGTCTATACTGTAAATAAAAATCTGCGAAATATGATTTTTACAAGTTGTGTTTCATTTAAAAAATATTTCAAATTTTGTGTTTAAAAGTCACCACCTATTAAAAGGCTATTTTTGGTATTGGAAACTTCAATATGTATATTGACCCTAGGCCAAAATAAATCAACCAAAAATCCAAAAAAAAAATCAGTTCTTGCTCTTTAAAAATAAATTATAAAAAATAGTTTATATAGATTTTTTTCGTTTTATAAATTCTGTATAATAAAATGTCTTGTATTAAGACTCTTGAGGTCTATGGTATTTGCACATGGAGTATTTAAATAGAATCTGGTATAATAATTAAATTTTTTTTATTTATTATTTTTTTTAATTTTATTTTAGTTTGGATTTGCTTTAGCTTTGTAAAAAAAAACACTGATATAATTATATAACAAAAAAAATTAATAAAATCGTATATATGTTGCCTAGATGTTGTAAAAAAATTGGAGTTGGAAACATAATATATTATATAATATTAATAAAAAATATTACTAATATACATTTGAAAAAAAAAATAGTAAAATCATATTGAATATAGAAAAAATAGTAAACTATTAAACATAAGTAATAATTATAATTATTTAGATACAAAGTAGAAATTTTGAGTTTATACCACAAAGAAGTATTTTATTTTATTGAGAAAAATATCGAAAAATTTGTAATAATAGTAAAACAAACTATTAATAAGTATCTAGGAAAATGTAGAAAAAAGTAGTAATAAAAAATAGTAACAAAAAAATATTATTAAGTATCTGGGAAAAAGTAGAAAATTTTGAGGTTATGTAAACAAAAACTAGAAATATGGATATATGAATGTATGAAAAAAATTAAATAATAATTATTATACGCAAAAATATGTATTATTATATTTATCTAGATAAAATGTTGAACATTTGCAAAAAAAAAAATAGTAAACAAAATAATTTAGAAAAAAATGGCAAAAAATATTATAATTTAGAAAAAAAAATGTAGACAATTTGGTTGTAACTTATAACCTACAAAAGTAGAAAATTTGAGGTTGTAGCTTAAAAAGTAGAAAATTTGAAATTATAACCTAAGTTGTTGTAAATTTGAGGTTATAAAAAAAACTAATTTAGTGGTAGTTGTTGGTAGTAAATCACATTAAAAAAAATTAGAAAAAATGTTTACAAATCTGAAAAAAAAATTAGAGAATTATAAATCACAAAAATTTGTTTGAAATGCACCCCTAAATAAATTATTTTCAGATTTGTATTCCCAGTATAAAAAAAATGTTGATATAATTTTTAGAAAAAATATATTTAATAAATTTAAGTATTATTTAGTGTACTAGAAATTAGAAAAAAACTTAGAATGAAGTAATATACCAATGTAAACAAATTTTTGCCGAACCCAAAATTCTTCCAAAACATTGTAATATATTTAAATTTTAGAAACGATCTCTAGTTGTTGGATTTCCATTTAGAGATGTATTAACGTAACGTAAATATTTTGAGAAAGTAGCTGTTGTAAAAAAAAAAATTAGAAATTTTTGATTACAAAATTTCCAAAAAAAGCTCTCATTACAAGTAGTTAACTCAAAAACACTCCCTTTTTCCCACTCAAAATAAAAATATCTCAAAAAGGTCGCTCATTGAAAAAAAGTCTTTAAGACTCTCCTTCGTTTCTTTGTACAAAAACCAAAATCTTGATTTTTGTCATTTTCCAAAAACCAAGCAGGACAACTTTTTCCCAAGCACTT